AGACACTTTTAAAGCTGGAAGAGATAAGGGAGTGAATTATATAAACCCTCTTAAAATTCTTACCGTAAACAACACTGTTAAATTTTTTCTATAATCTCAAACTTTGAGATAGATCTTTTGGAGCTCAAAATGAAAAGGGACTGTGCCAAACGCTTGCATCCATAACTCGATATACGCACGCTAAGCATGAACCAATCGATTATAAAATTTGAAGAGATTTTGTTTTGGGATTGGTTTGTGATGTTTAGAATGGTAGCAGAAGGAATAAGACATTGAGGTGTTTCCTATTCAGTTGGAAGTTAATTAGATTTTGGATTTAAATTCAAACAGGGTGAAATATATTTTTTTGCTTTTTTATGCTTTATCATGGTTTGTTGACATGGAAAGGTAATTGTAATTATTGCTTTACAGATGTCTTCGTCACTACTAACCTCCATAATTAATTTTCTTTTAAAATAGAATGTTTTAATAACTTTATTCCTCTCTCTACATATCATTTACTGTTTCTGGAGCACAACTGAAGAAAGCAGGTTATAAAGGACTAATTACTTGATTCAATTAATTATTTGAATAATTGAGAGACATTTGATGTTTTCACATGGAACAGGATGGTCCAGCTGAAGATAACTCTGAAAAGAAGTGAACTCCTCGGCTGTAACAAAGGTGATTCATTGGGAAACTTGAGCACTCAGTAAATATGACTTGGCCTGTAATTCTGATGATTACAGTTTGCTGAGGTAGTTAGAATGTCAGTCCCTATAGAGGAATATATCTTCCATATGACCTCTACGGTCATATATCAGGACAGGGATAACTGAAACAGATGGATGAAATCTTAAGATCAGAGGTGGGCACTACAAATTGTCGTGTGTAATATACACTTACATTGAAATAGTCTGGATCTCTTCTCGTTTTTGCAATCTATTGAGACAGTAAAGGCTTGCAATAAATGTAAGGCATCGTAAGGCATCGCGTTTGAAAGTAAACCACGTGCAAAGCGAAATGTTTGTTTGGATCTGATACCCATTTCAGATCACGTGAGATTACCGTGCACGTCAGCCGATTAGGTATATTACACCATAAACCAGAGTTTAAGTTTCCACCTGGGTGGCTTAGTAGAAAGTCGTTACCACGCCCAGCGGACCCCGAGTTCAATCTGTTACAGCGGAAATCTTAAGATCTGTCTATCTTATATCTTCCTCACTTCAAATGAGAAAAGGCTGAGTGCTGACCAGAAACTGGAAATATGGATCTAATAATAAACAGGAGATTTGATATCAAGGATGGATTAAGGTGTGTATAGAAAGAGCGCAGGAAGGTAGTTGAATGTTTTAGAAAATGGCTGTTGAAAATTGCTTTCGTACCTAAAATAACCGGATTATTTTGTGCATTTTTTATGTACAAAAGGATGATATTCCTTAATCTTTAATTTCCCTTATCATCAGTGCAAATTGAAGAGGGAGTATTATATCCAAGTGGTGAGTCTTTTCAGAGGAATCGGGCAAGTTATCAGATAAGTATTCCGCCCGAATTTTTCATTTTTAAGCTTATTCGTCAGGCCAGTAAGCCCAGAACTGTTCAATCACTGGTGTATCCCAACGAAGTCAACGAATGATACAGCTGTGGCAAGGTAGTCTATTTTATTGAAGTGTAGTTCCATCATAAATGTACACTTCGGCTTAAAATCAGAACCGTTCTTCTCCAGTTCGACCCTTTAAAGATTAGAGTGATAAAAAAAAAGACAATCCAGACGCAAGGGGCGAGGTTATGACCCTTAAACTTCTTTCTCCTCACGTGCACATCATGAAATTTTAAAATGATATAAGTTTAACTGTTGCCAGATATTAATAATTGTGACTTAGAACAAATTTATAACTTTCAACCGGGATTTTTACGACTATGTAAGCTACAAACATTGATCAACCAAAGTATCAGAAAGCTGTCTTGTGAGGCACTGTAAACGACACATTTTTGGTATCTAAAATTTTCAGGTAATCAGCAATATACAGTCTCACAATGATATAAGTCCACATCTAAAGAGGTGTTTTGAAATTCAGATGAATCTGTATCTTTTATCGTCTTCACTGTACCTGTACCTGTTCAACATGCTTTTCTGGTCGTTGGTAGGATTGTTGTTGTTGTAGTTGTTGTTGCTGCTGCTGTTCGTTTAGTTTCTAATTTTTTCTTTGATTGATCAAAGTTTTTTTTAAGATTTAAACAATGATCATTATTGACTGATACTTTACGGCACATTATTGTAATATTTATGGCTGTGCCAAACATGGCCCTAATGAAAATATTCATAATAGAAACTGAAACGTGTTAAACTGCACCTTGTTGCCGTCAATCTTCATAACTGGTGTCCATCCTCCATCTCCACACCCAAAATCTCCCATGTGACAGAGGACGGGGACTGGTTTGGAGTCCAAACAGAGGGTGACCAGTTGACTGACGTCAGACCTATTGAAAATAATAAACAGCCTGAACCGACAAATTGAAAAAAAGATTAATCGTTTTAATTTAAAAAGTCGATACAGTCATAGTTTATAATACAAAATAAAAACAAAACAAGGAATTGTTTGGTTGTTACTGCAAAGATATTTTCTGTGTCGTTAAAATGTCAGCCTTCTCCTTCCCACCCAAATACCCCGATCGGATATGCGTCCAGTCTTTCCCTCTCGACCCTCTCGAGCGCTGGCACAATGTTTTGGGTATCCCCAAAATTTGGTTATATCCGTATTCAAAACACAATTGTTTGGGTATCCCCTCTGGGAACACCCAAACTCTAAAAGTGAATTTAATAGGAGACTGGATTACATGGCATCGGTACTTTATTTAAGTTACAAAATTAAAAGACTAAATTGTTCAAAGAGCTTTTCATATCTCAGAGATTCAATATTGCCAAGATATTTGTCCTAACTTGTAGTAAATTTCTAACAACATTGCAAAGGTCACTGAAGAGGTAAAAAAATTTTCCACACACAAGCATGGTAAACAAGTCAGACAGTTGATTATACACAGACTCAGAGCTAATCGAAAAGTGGAAGGTTTCTTTCATTTTCTTAAACGCAAAATTCTAACAATGAAGTGAATAAACGTCCTTCCGTACGTGTCTCCAATCGAGCCTGCGAAGTAAATAAACGTCCTTCAAGATACTGTACAACGATTCATCACCATTTCAATCTAAACTCGAGAATTAACTTTGGAAAAGACCGACAAATAATAGAGAGGGACCATGTTACTTGCCGCATTCTCCCATTTAATTCACTTTTTTGGCGTTTTGGGTTTTCCCAAAGGGGATATACTAGTTTTCTCGGGGATACCCAAAACGGGGGAAGACCCACTTCAATCCTGCAAAACAAAAAAAAAGGACAGCAACACAAAAAGGACAGCACGAAGGCAGTGGCAGATAGCAAAGAGTGTTTAAACGACCTTGCATGTATTATTTGCATATGTATTATTTGTTTTATCGAGCTCTATTCATGTCAAATGTTTTACCAGTTCTAGAGAATTCGTGTTTTTAAAATTTTCATCCATTTAGCTATTATCTAGAGTAAAATTTAATCCATATCCTACGAGCAATAAGTACAGCCTGTTAACCCATGATTTTCCACATCACTTTCATGGATGGTTCGCCTTTTCAGAAAAACCTTCTATGAGAAAAAAAAATTTTTTTTTCTATTAGCCCGAAACTTTCTTTTGTACGGGTCAACCTCTTTTATTGTTGCTAACTGCATTTTTATCAAAAAGATTTTCTACAATCAGTAAGTTTAGTAGATTATCATTAGTAAACATGCATATAGACCACACATTTGAAAAGTAATGTTCGCACGTGCAGGTTGGCTGGCTCATCGATCGTTCTGTCGCAATTTGTAATAAAAATGTCGCACTTGTTAATAAAACTAACTGTCGAAATTTGGGATGGATGATCAGGGGGCAAGTAGAGACAATAAAAATAACGAAATACTATTTGGCGACACCTTGCACTAGATAGAGCTGGAGGAAGACAGACATGCATATATCAATATAGAATGAGTCCATGCTTAGCATGCGTATGTCGAAGTATGAATGCACGCGGGAAGTTTGGAGAGCACGAGAGCACTGTAGCTTCTTGAGTGCAGACAAGTTGTGCTGGAAAAAAATGAGTTTAATATAAGTGTGTCGAGTTTACCAAGTAATCGTGTTCTACTCGAAAACTATGAATAAATAGCAAGGCGAAGACGATCAATGAATATTTCGAGACCAATTCTGTATCCAAAAAAGACTGGAAATTTTTTGTTCGAAAGCGAAAAACGAACGAATTTTTTGCATGTCGGTGACCGCATAGTAGACATGGTGGATTCAGCATGCTTGAATCGTTGTTTACGGCCAGAAAATTGCGTAGGTTTGTCTTGAAAATTTTGAAAATTCTGAAATCGTATGGTTTTAAAATTAAAATTAGAACTTTCTTTTGAACCTGCGCTGTGCAGCAGATTTACCCAACTGGAATTGTTGTTTAAAAGAATTTACCATTAGAAAATTGGGTAGCTTTGTGTTGAAAATTCTTAAATTGGTGTTATTTCCAAAGAAAATCTTCCATTGAACTACACTTTTGGGATATTTTAACACTTCAAAATAATAAAATACCGTTAATTCTGATGAAGAGACTCCAAGTTGCAAAGTCTCAGTTGGAATTCAGAAAACTCAGTTTTGTTATCAGCCATAATTCACACTCCGTTTAAGAATGAAGAATCGTCAACTCAAAAACTAATTTCTTCGCTTGATAGAGCTACATTCTCAATACATTTTCAAAACGAGTATTATTTGACATATTCTCTTCTCATTTTGAGCTCTAAAAGGTCTATTTCAAACGGGATAGAATGGAAAACTAATCCTGAAAGTTTTAAAACTCGACGGGAACTATAAGCCTAATTGAGATTGCACACGTCATGTGGTAGATGCACGGCCGTGCTGCACGTAAGGATTTTTACCATGGTAGCTCCATAGGAAATAGCTGGGACTCATGCGTGCGTTATGTCATATTTACCTTTCTCACAATAGTCCCCATAGAAACCTTGTTCACAGCGACAGTCGTAAGAATTGTATTTGTAATTAGGGATGCAGATTCCCCCGTTTAGGCATGGCGAAGAAGAACAAGGAGACTGGAATAAACAGAAAGTATCTTTCGTAAAGACCATGAAATACCTGGACAGTACTTTTGATGAAAATCTTTTTAAAATTATCAGCTGCAACTGCGTTAGAAAGAGTTCTTACCTGAAAAGACAAATGTTGCGAACTCTTGTTTTCGTTGTAATTCCCAGTGTCTCTGTACTTATCAGAGGACACCAATTCGCACCAAAACTCTCCATTTGCTCCTTTGGAGGCGGCCATGTTTATCGCAAGGCACAAAGCGTTTCTGACACATTCAAATGTACAATCTAACAGGTCGTACAAAATGAATAGCCCCACTCGAGGTGCGGTCAAATAATGGAATTCTTCTCTTGAAAAGTGACGCTGGTTGAATGTCTTCCCAACAGGAAGCAAGTCTTGCTTCAAACTGTTTATTTCTGAGGTGATTAAAACGAGGAAATTTAGTTTTATTTAAATGATATGCTGTTTTATATGAATTACTATTTTCCAGTTGAATTGTGATGGACAAAGGCTCTTGCTAGTCTGTACAGGTCGAAGTCTTCAGTTAACATTTGGCAGTGAAATATATTAGCTAAGACCCTTCTCGTATCTGTACTTTACAATTTAAAACAAAGAATAGCGTATCAAAGAGACACTACTCTTTGAAAATGAATTGTTGGACTCGGGCCGATGCTGGGTGCGAAAAAAGGTGACTGCCTCACAAGTCACTAGCGTTCGCGCTCCAGAAGCCCAATTTATTAGTCAGACAGGTGCAGTGTGATAAACTAAGTTTGAAATGCATATGTCCTTGGGAGAGCGCTTTGCTAGAGAACATTTCCTTAAAAGGAAGACGATTTCTAAATCAGTTACGTTATTTGGCTACGTAGAAAGCAACATGAAATTTTAAGTAGCGAGGGAAGTTTTAAGAATGCCCTCATAAAGGAGACCGCCTGAATGCTAAAATATCTTATCTCAAATAGCTCTTTATAAAATCCTTTTATGCATGGTTTATTCTACTCTGCTCCTTGTATAACTAAGCTCGCAAATTTCATGTTGTTTTAAACTGGGACGAGGATGGTAATGTAAAATAACGTTTCAGCAAACGATGCAAAATGGGATCAAATTGAAGTTTGGTTCAAATTTAAACAGGTGCTTACGAAAGTGCGTGGAAATGCGACTGATAAATATTCTTACCAAAAAGCACTGTTTTAAAGCTCAGTTTTCCGGTGATTTTTTTTGTATTATGTGACCGATGCAAGATTGCAGAAAATTGAAATTTACTTTACATTCCACAGCTATAAGAGATCGGAAGAAGATAAGAAAGGCTTGTATGTAAAAGATATCGTATAGCTTGGAAATGTAGGGTATCATAAATCTTCATCATGACATTGTGGAAAAAATCACATGCAAAAAATGTTGTGCACGTTTTTGGTTTTCGATTTTTTCTTCTTTTGGAAGAGCCCGCCTCATCCACGGCTTCTGTTTAGAAAGGGATCTTAGTGCCATAAAGGAACAAGAAGAAATCGTAGAAAAAGTTGAATGAGACCTAAGAAATGATAATATATTTACCTGAAGAACAGTTAGCTGCTGTGAAAAAAGAAGGGAAGAGAAAGAAAATGAGAAGGCGCTTGAAATCAGCAGACATGATAGATGGCTGAGGCACTTGGTAATTTAGCTTTCCATCCGCTCTAAGTGTCCCATTAAAGTCACTTTCGAGTTGTATATACTGCAGCAAATTAAAGGAAAATTTCCGAAGTTAAGTTTTGAAGCTGTTATCCCTTGATAAAGAAACGATGCGTAATTCAATGTCGTGTCATGTCTTTTCCAGCGCTTTTTTAGAAGCTAAAATTGTGATATTTTTCCCTTTGTTTTTGGCACCCTGCGGGACAAGGTAGATTAAGTACCTGCGAAAATTAAAATTCGCCACTTGTTTAGCAGCTGTTTTACTTTAAATTGGTTTTATTTTCTTTGTGGTAGCGTATATGGTTGAATATTCACGTCGGATGGAATTTTGTGAATCAAGATGGGTGTAAATTACACTCATATTTTTTTTTTATTTACTTCTGGGTACACAATAAGGGATAGTTCCCCTTTAGCTTGTGTTTTACATTTAGTTTTCATCGCTTTGAAAGAACTTGACGCTTATTGGTTCTCTGTTAGGTTACAAATATGAGACTGTCGGTAGCACCTAGGGCCTTTGCTCTTATGTTTAAAAGAAAACTCGAGAGAGTTTCCCGCAATTAACGGCGGTAATGGTAATGTAATATAACGTTTCAGCAAACGATGCAAAATGGGATCAAATTGAAGTTTGGTTCAAATTAAAACAGGTGCTCATGAAAGTACGTGGAAATGCGACTGATAAATATTCTTACCAAAAAGCACTGTTTTAAAGCTCATTTTTCCGATGATTTTTTTTGTTCTATGTGACCGATGCAAGATTACAGAAAATTGAAATTTATTTTACATTCCACCGCTATAAGAGATTGGAAGAAGATAAGAAAGGCTTGTATGTAAAAGATATTGTATAGCTTGGAAATGTAGTCTTTTTTATCTAGCATGGGTATCATAAATCTTCATCTTGACATTTTGGAAAAAATCACATGCAAAAAATGTTGTGCACGTTTTTGGTTTTCGATTTTTTCTTCTTTTGGAAGAGCCTGCCTCATCTACGGCTTCTGTTTAGAAAGGGATCTTGGTGCCATAAAGGAACAAGAAAAAAATCGTAGAAAAAGTTGAATGAGACCTAAGAAATGATAATATATTTACCTGAAGAACAGTTAGCTGCTGTGAAAAAAGAAGGGAAGAGAAAGAAAATGAGACGGCGCTTGAAATCAGCAGACATGATAGATGGCTGAGGCACTTGGTAAAGTTTAGCTTTCCATCCGCTCTAAGTGTCCCATTAAAGTCGCTTTCGAGTTGTATATACTGCAGCAAATTTAAGAAAAATTTCCGAAGTTAAGTTTTGAAGCTGTTATCCCTTGATAAAGAAACGATGCGTAATTCAATTTCGTGTCTTTTCTTTTCCAGCGCTTTTTTTAGAAGCTAAAATTGTGATATTTTTCCCCTTGTTTTTAGCACCTTGCGGGACAAGGCAGATTAAGTGCATGCGAAAATTAAAATTCGCCACTTGTTTAGCAGCTGTTTTACTTTAAATTGGTTTTATTTTCTTTGTGGTAGCGTATATGGTTGAATATTCACGTCGGATGTATTTTGTAAATCAAGATGGGTGTAAATTACACTCAAATGTAGAGGAAAACAACTGAAGTTTTCGTCTGGTTTTTATTTACTTCTGGGTTCACAATGAGGGATAGTTCCCCTTTAGCTTGTGCTTTACATTTAGTTTTCATCGGTTTGAAAGAACTTGGCGCTTATTAGCTCTCTATTAGGTTCTTGTCGATTTATTGTGGCCAATCAAGTTCGAAACTTACCCCCTTTACAAATATGAGACTGACGATAGCACCTAGGGCCTTTGCTCTTGTGTTGGAAAGGAAACCCGATAGGGTTTCCCGCAATTAACGGCGAGTGCCTACTAATAAAAGACATCAATTTTTAAGGGTGTTTTTCAGGCCTCATCTGTCACCATGGCAACAGTGCGGCGGTACCTTAAAGACCCTCTAAAACTCAGTTTTTGAAAGACATTTCAAAGACTAAGTGGGTGACCAAAAAATTTTTTTTGTTATTTATCTATCAACTTAGCAAGCTTTATTTCCGGTTTTTGCGATATTAGCTCACACTTTTATATCCGGTTACGCATTTTGAACAATACCGCTGATTGGACGGCTCTTCTTCGCGAGGACAGTCCGCTTGATGAGCGAAGAGGAGAGAAAAGTATTCCTCCTCTCGTTTGTCAGTCAGTAAATGACCAATTTAGAAATTATAGGGGAGGAATTAGGATAATTTTTTTCAGGGTTTTGACTTCTTCCAGAGCGTCTTAAACGAAACTAAATCGAAACAAAGCGAAGATTTTTTAAATTAATTTTTTGTAAGAAAATTATTGTTTCGTTGGAGGAAGTTCTTGGCGTCTTGTCCGACTTGTTTTGGCGAGGCTAGTAATTTCGAGTCGATGTTGACAGTGCATTAACTCCACGAAGTCATTATAATCCAGATTTTGTATACGTATCTCAAAGAATTGCAACGGCTAAAGAGCCATCTGCAAGCCAAGTTATAATCATGGATCGTTGTTATTAAAAGTTCATCGTCGCTCAAGAAATGTCGTCTGTGACAAAGTTTCATTCGGTGATTAGGTTTCTTTAATTTATGTTAATGATATTTTGAGAGGTAAGCTCGCGCAGAGAAAACAGAACCCGTCTAGAAACGCCTCAATGTCGATAATTCCTGATGATTACATTTTGACGGTTTTCTTTGTGTGACTTCTGGGTGCAAATGAATGGTATGGGATGAATATTATGTAATACTTTGATCTAATCAACCAAAATATCGAAAATGCATGGCGTAGTGTTGGAAATCTATACGAATCATATTCTGCCGTTTTGCTTCCTTTTGCCGGGTAGTGCCCTAACGACTTTGCCTTACTGATGTCTCTTTGCCTAAGTTATTTGTTGGTCGAACTTTCACTTTTTTTTAGATGAATCAATTCCCTTTTCTAAACAGAAATAGCCTCATTCAGCTTTTGAAAACAAATGCTGAATGATGCAATTTTCATTTGATTTACAGCCGCTATTGCTGTTTACAACTCGCTCCACGAAATTTCGTGGGAAAGATCGCGCGTGGAATGCATCAGTTTAGAACCAGTCTCCCCTGGCATAAAAACCCTTTCGAGTCTCCTTGAATTTTATCAACACTTGTTGATGTCCCATCATTGTGAAAAAAAGCTGCAAGATTTCCGCACAGCCCCCTACTTCATCGTGCATACAGTTCTTGGATAATATGGAGAAAACAATTGATTGCCTTTGTTTTAGAACAGTAAAGGATTATGCAAATCTTTTTTTCCAACAAACCAACCGTCAAGAATGAGGAACTAGTCACTTTATGTAGTGCAGCCTACATCAAAAAAATTTCATTCTTTTGAAGTAAAAGTAGCACTCTTACGGTCTTAAGAATCTATAACATAAGCGATTAACAACGAACTGAGCACGCGCAGTTCTCACCGGGCGTTACTGCAGAGATATAAATATGCATTATATTGAAGTTTCATTTGTTCATTATTTATATAACTGTGTCGAACTCAAGATGGTTAAATTCTGCGAAGTACCATGTAATTTCTCTGATGGATCACATTTGTTTCGCTGTGACTAGAAGGTATTTCAATTTCATCAATTATTTTTCTTCGCCATACAACTTAAGCGCAACAGTTTGAACTCACAATTATCTACAACACCAGCGTTTCTTGCGTCAAAGGATATCTGGAAACCATTATCTTGTAGAGACGTTGCTGGAAAATCCAAATGCAGAAACTGAAGTCTTGTAAGAATTATTTCTGTTTCATATCATCAGACTGCTTTCTTTAAAACTTGTGGTCTATGAGTTTCCCTGATTAAACTGAGTCTCGAGGAGATGAGATGTACACAAAAAGCTTGCCAGCCCATATCTTTTATCGCGGGACCAGTGAGAAAATTTATTGATATTGTCCGGCAACGGAGAGCTTTTGTCTCGTTACTTCGCTCGGCATTGCATGAATAAATTTTACGTCGCTCTTAGTTGGCCGAAGACGTTTCCCTGAGTATTAAGCAATATTACACACTAAGTTTTCCGCCAGATCGTCGAATTACGGTGCTTGCCGGTTTAAAGAAATGGCGGCGGCGAATCTTTTCAGCCGATTACAGATTGTATATCGAAGCATATCCTGTGTTCTCGATCGAGAGTTAGATCATTTCTCGAGATCTTTTATTGATTTCCTTCGGAGAAAACGGATAAGAGCGTATGAACGATTTCATGGTCCTTTTGAAACGGATAGCGAACGACCAGCAAACGGGAGCTAAGTAGGGTTTATTGTCTAAAAGCAAATTTTGGAACAAAATCTTTGCATGGTTACGATTGTAAGGTAATTTTTTGGAGGAAGATAGGAATGTACTTTGACTGATGGCTTAATTTTAAGGGCTTGTGTTCATATCGTTTCATTGCGGTGCGTTAAAAAAAAGGGACCAATATCCAGCCATTTTGACTAAGCAAGTTGAATGTTCCGCTTCGGCGAACAAGTAAGCCAACGGACCAGATTACTGTTTACATATCCAAAAACGGATAATTTGAAACTATTTGGCAATACCGAAATTTTTTTGGTTGAAATAATAATGCATGCATGGTCCTTTGGTAGCGTTGCAAATGTAGTAGTGGATATTCTGAGTCACCATAGCCTCATCTGGCCACACCACGCGTATTATGTCGCTCAAGCGACAAAAATATTCATTTTGCCATTGTTAATTAACAAAGAGAAGAAGGAAAGAAGAAAACAAAAGAAAAAGAAAAAAACAACAACAGAGGCACATAATTTCAATGACGCTAGTTCAAGTTATAATGACTGAATAGATGCCATAATAAACGGATCTTGGTATCCCAATTAAACCAACAATCCTTCAGATCCAGGAGTTTGCTGATTAAATTGAATTCCTACGACAGGTGAAGTCATGACAACAGAGTGTTCCTGGATTTTACGCCTTCGTAGCCTAAGACGATTGAGATGTTTACTGGTTACGTGGCTTATAGTTCTTCTGCTTTTATTTGCGTCTTATGGAGAGCTGAATTACGTTTGGAAGACTTTACAACGAGGCGCATCAGCTGCTTCACAAAAGTAAGTCTTTTGTTCTTTCTTTGGGAAATTTACCATTTTGTGGGTCAAACAGTGGTATATGATGTGCGCGTTCAAATTAAAAGTATGGCAGATGATGAGTTATATAGCATTCCATTTTGGAAGGGCATACGTGTAGAGGGATAAAAAATTTCAGGGTTGTTGGCGAGAGTTTCTAACAGTACTTTTTAAATGGCGTGTAACGGAGAAGTGAACGTGAGAAGTACCTTAAGAAAGCATATGCACGTCATCTAAACTTTTCATAGCGTTAACGGGAGCGTTGCAGTGAACAAAGCAAGAAAGGAGACTGAGACATAAAATGAAATTATGTAATAAAGAGTATAACAAAGTGAGATGTTAACAAGAATAACAGAAAAAAAAGTGAAAAGGGAGACTAATCAGCATGAAAGGGATAAATTAAGATGTTTGACCGGGGAATTTAAAGACGGCTGCTCCCAATGGATGTTCATGGCTTCCTTAGGCACCCGAGAGGTTCTGAAAATTGTCGCTCCCTTTGTTCAGAAGATTGTTTTCAAATTCTGGACTCTGTGTCCACAAGCTTCCAATTGATAATTAAGGAAGCCATGCACATCCTTTGGGAGCAGCCGTCTTTAAATTCCCAGGTCACACATCTTAATTTATCCCGTTCATACTAATTAGTCTCCCCTCTTAGCTTAAATAGTTTCATATTTTCCTGTTATTCTTGTTAACATCTCACTTTGTTATACTTTTTATCGCATAATTTCATTTTATTTCTCATTATACAACGGAAGATGGATGATATTCCATCCGAAACGTGTTTTGTTTTTATTAAAAAAAACCTTAAAAAAAAAAAAAAAAAAAAAAAAAAGAATTACAAAGGCATCGTGTGGTTCATCAAAGCGATATAGATATCTGTTGTTACCAAAACCGTGAGGGTAATGGTACTTATCTTCGCATCATACTGTTATTCTTGTTTTCTTTTAACAGGAATGAGTCCAAACTGTGGAATTTCCCCGAGGAAACAACGGGCGATCCAGTCATTCATCAGCGCTGCTCTCCAGTAACTAATGTCCTGTTTCTTAAGACGCATAAAACAGGGTCGTCCACAGTATCTAACATTTTTTTCCGATATGGCGACTCCCGAGATCTTTCATTTATTCTTGGTGGAGACACACTCATTGGTTGGCCAAGACGCTTTAGAATTGAACATACCTTGAAACGTAATAATCTACAGCCAAATTTTCTTTGTAGTCACACGAGGTACAGTAAGAAAACGATGAATTACCTTTTTCCAAAAAATGGCAGTAAATATATCACAATCCTTCGAAACCCAGTTGAGCAATTTGAGTCTGTTTTTAGCTATATGGGGCTCAGTAAAGTATATAATCTAGGTGCTGACCCCACACAATCTATTAAACAATTTCTCAGGAAAGGAATAGAATTTAAAGATATACATAAAACTCAGTCGTCAGTTTTAGCCAGAAACCCAATGATGTTTGATTTGGGTTTAGACCCTCAGTTTTATCAGAATGCTACAGCAGTGAAGAACTACATTGCATTTTTGGAGAAGGAATTTGACCTAGTAATGCTTATGGAGTACTTTGAGGAGTCCGTGGTGCTTATGAAGCGCTTGCTTTGCTGGGAACTCAGTGATGTTCTACATATTAAAACAAATGAGAGAATAGATAAAGAAAAAGCTGCGTTCAGCGTAAACATGAGGGAAAACATACAACGGTGGAACAAAGCTGATATGTTGCTCTATGATCACTTCAACAAGACTTTTTGGAATACAATAAAATTGGAAGGTGAAGGGTTTTACAAAGACCTTGCAGTTTTTCAACAAATGAAGAACGAAATGGAAAAGACATGTTACAGTGGAACAACACTCCAAATGGCCTATCAAGGCAAATATGTGAAGAGCCTGGCTTTGAATCCAAACCTGTCGCAAGCAAATAGAGAGAAATGTGAAAAAATGACAAGAAAAGAGAACAGTTATCTTGAGTACTTAAGACGGAAGCAATCTTTTAAATCATCTGGACCTATGAAGGCAGTATTAAGAGAGGAAAATGAACCTAACAAGCTTACCTGGGATGCGGCAAAAGATCTTCGATACGATCCCCTACCACTTTGATCAGTGATTCGACGAGGCTAATTTGGGATAACATCGGTTTGCTTACTATTTCTATGCATGAGATCTTAATACCCACATAATTTTTTTACTAAGGTATTTGTTAAGGCTAACTCAAGAAATACCCGGGCATATACTAGTAATTAGGGTTTAAGGTCACATTTACGATCATGTTCCCTATATTTTGCGAAAATGTCTACCATTGTGCTATTTCAAATAAAACGTCAGGTATTCGATTTTTCAAAATCATTGCCTCATCTGTGTTTTTTGGTAAGGGAATAATTTGTGTGACTGTCGTGCATGAAATTCAGTCCGGAGGCTGTACTCAATAGGCCGAGGAAAGTTCTCGGTTAACTTCATTAATTTTTAGGATCGTGGCGCCCTGTTTGAATAAGTGCTAGCAATGCTAGGCTCTTATCAATAGACACTTACTTAACTTACTCATCGAGAGGAATGCAATTATTAGTGGGAAACCCCCAAGAAACTCAAAACTAAGAATGTTGGGTCCAAAATTTAATTTTGAAATGCTAATGACATACCTGTCAAAGTTATCAAAGCTGCTTCAAGCTGACCGCGAAAAGACAGAATCCTGTTCAAATATGAATTGTGAAAACAATGTGATATACATAAGGTTTCTCATGCGTTTTGAACCAGCGACACGTCAATAGATAATGAAAGCATTCATTGTGATAATAACACGAACTGTTTTTATTAACTCGGCAAATGTTTCACACAATGTACCTGCATCTTTGCAATACCTTCCAGTCTAAGATCGACAGATTACCACATTTAAATTCGACAAAATACCTGGATATATATATATACGACAGCGAAAGGGACTTGATTCTTTGGATTCCATAATGATTTCTATTAAGCACCCTCGTTCTATTACGCGCCTCCTCTCTCGAATTTATTTTTGTCGATAAGCACTCATATTGAGTAAGTACCCTCATTCCAATAATCGTGTCCTGCACAAACAAGCGCCCTGCTTCGAGTAAGCGGTATCCGGTCGTTTCGTAACCAGTGGTTTCATGCCCAAATTTAGTTTAATTTACTCCTCCTGGTTGCAATTGTCCTGGTGCTGAAGATATGTTAGGTGTGTGCTCTACTCCTCCAATCCGCAAATCTCCCTGATGATTGGATGGCTCTCTGTTACAAGCCGTAGGATCATCACCTTATGTCGGCTGGTTTTCAAACACTGTACCGATCTTCTTCCAGTCGTCGATTCCATTTTCGAAATCGAACCTGCAAGAAACTTTTAAAAACAAAAGGAAAAAAAAATTCCGTCACGTTTCAAACGAAGCCTTTACTCCAAATTCCTTCAACGAACTATCAAAAAATTTCCAAAGACCGACAAGCACAAAAAAGGAGAACAGAAGAAAAAGAAAAAACAAACAAGTAGAAATAAGACAGAACACAAAAAGCAAACATACCCACAAACACCAAGAAAAAATTAAATGGATAAACTGTCATTAATCACACCGTATTTCTGTTCCTTTTTTGCGCTGATACTTTCAGCAAAAGTATTAATAGTTGGTTTTTAATCATCTGACACTCATCAATAAATCGACTTTCCCTTTTACAGTTAAAGAGACAAGATAAACTGAATAATATTAATTAATTTATAGGTAAGTAACTAAATATGAAGATGATAACGTAAAAAAGGCATGTTTTTCCTAACGGTTTCACAGTGGCACATAAGCTTAAAAAGGAGACTTGAACCTAGACTTGGTAAAACAATTTTTTTAAATTTTTTCTTTCGTTTTACTATGTTACTACAAGCTAAAGGGAAAAAACAGCAGCAGTTGTAATCGCGTGAAAGTAAATTATTGAGTCATAAATAAAAATAGGCCACAGGGAATCTGTAAACTGAAGAAATGAGCCCTGCAATGCAATGCCATGTAACATTGCACAATCACTATTTCAGCTTCAAGCAATCTCTATGAGTATGCCCTTGTTCAAATAAGATCCTCTAGGTTCATCATGGTACTTTCATGTCACCAAGCTTTTCATGCAATATCATACAAAGAATCTGAAATTCCATCTATTATGTCGGCGCATAATTGCCTTCTTAAAAAAAGAAAAAAACAAGCATTTGAAGTCAGAGGACATAGTCTGCTCGCCGCCTGTGGCTATTTTATAAAGAAAATAGAATATCTGTCTCCTTTTTAGGCTTAAAGCACTATCTGTTGAAATCCATTGATGCCTATTTCTGAAATAGGTATCCAAGTAAAGTCTCGACAAAAATGAAAGCAGCACAAATCCACTCTAAAGTTGACTAACCGGGAAAAAATGATGACATGATGCCTTTTCGTGAGGTAAATTTCTTGTTATTCTGTTGATTCGTGTAGTTTTTAAATTGTTCTAGTAATTGTTATCTTTCCTTAACAGTTAAAATCTAGTGACCACCATGCATATCATCCCGTAAGCTCGATAGAGGTTGGCATATAAAGTGGAACACAAGTGAAAGTTTAAATTTTGGGACAATTTTCTCTTTAAATCCAATTGAATGTATCCCCAGAGTTCTGTAGCGACGACTGAAGAAATCAGGTTTATATCTCTTACCTCATCGTTGTGCAATTTAGTCATCTTTTATTCAAGGGATTTAACCCTGGCCGAGATTTCATCGTTCTCGTGGGCTACAGGAGGAAAAGAAAAATGAACAAATGAAAAATATTTCCAAACGCTTCTAAGCGTATACGGTGCATAGTGTGATTTATACCTAAAAAAATAAATAGTGGAATCATTATTTTCTCTGAATACTCAGCTATTTTAAAAAAACCTTTAAGTGTTTTGAAGAAGCTCCGGCACTTTTATTGGCTGCACAATTTTCCCCATAATTTGAGATAAAAAGATGTCATTAAAATTATGAATAGCAGTAGAAAACGACAGCTTCATAATTTCTTGATAGTTTGAACACTGCAGCATAAAACAATCGGACCACAAGCTGTGCCTCATCAAATTACCACAATTTTCCGCCTTGTCTTCTCTGCATTGCGTGACTTATAGAAGACGTTATAATAATGGCAGATGTTGATAAGGATGCTGTGATATCGGGCTTTGAGTACGAGTTTGTTTCGACCGTTTTTGAAGAATTTCACTGTTTGATTTGTCAACTACCTTTGCGAGAACCAGTACTCACGAGGTGTGGGCACAGATATTGCAAGAAATGTCTTAACGAGGCCATGAAGAGGTAAGGAACTTTGTCAGACATTTCAACGTTAGTGAAATGTTGTTCTTTCGATTGGACTCACTAAGTAAATTTCAAAGTCCATCTCTCAGAACTTGCTAATTCATTTAAAAGGAGTTTTAGAGTTTCTGGCAAGACTCATATTCAGAATAAATCGCTCTGGTACATACACGGATTCTGACGATTGCGTTGTATGTACATGTCGAGACGGAAAATCTATCTAATGTTGTTTCCGGTTTTATTTCTTGGATTATTCCATCGTTGTGGATACCGCAAATGATCAGCAGTGGAGAATTAACTTCTTCGGCTTAGAATGCGGTTTTAAACGCTACTAAAGTGTGATATGTTTAATCGAAAGCGACAGAAATTTCTTCAATCGTACATGATCGCTTTTTTCCTTCAAGGGCAGCTTTTCATCGGTTTAATCCGATTACCAAGGCGGTGTCCTCACTAATCTAACTCTTGTTTTTATTCTCGCGAATTTTTTTATTACAGACAACAAGTTCCTGAATGTCCTGTTGACAGGGAAAGATTGGACCGAGAGAAGGTGATCAATGTGGCTCATTGTAGAATTTATCGAGGAAGAATAAGAAACAAATTTGGCAGACACATGCGGCCTAAAGAACAGCATGACGTCTTGAAGGACTGTTGTGATTATTTTCGAGACAGTTTTAATAAATAAAACAACAGGGATGAGACGCATGGGTGATTTACATAGCACGCGATTAAATGGAAATGATGTCACGCAATGCCCATCACCACAAATACATAAGGACAAAAACCAAGGTTCCATTTTAAAACTCCAGGATAAAAATACCTTAAATTTAATTGCCTACTGCATTATTCTATAGCATTATCTAAGAGAAGATGTAGTGGCACAGTTCTTGCAAACATGTCGTAGTCGCTCAGGCAGATGTTAGAATTCACAACTCAAATGTCTTAGTTCAGTGACATCATGGGTGGCCGGCTCGTCTCGGTTTGGTTATGTAAAATGTTAATATGGAGGTGGGCGAAGGAAATGGCGCGGGTAAAGTTCATATAGAACAAGTTACCGGGGAAAATGATTAATGATCATACTGAAAATATTGATGCTGATCCCCTCAGTGTTTTGTTTGAAACTTTCATGCGTAAACATTCAATGTGTATAAATCAAACTGAGTGATGCAATGATAACCGAGTACATCGACTCAGCATTGTCGACCGTACTTCAATCGTTAAAAAGACGACGAATAGTAAAAACATTAAATTTCTCAAATGGCTAATCAGTTAAAAGTTTAGTTTCTGTGCATCTCTTTGTGGCTAGAATTTTTTTCCAACGGGTGATTCACATTAAATGGAGGTTATTGTTATCGTTTGTTATTTTTATTATAATTTCTAAAACTTATTTCTCCCAAGCGTCAAGTACATTGACATTTCTTACATCATTGAAATAAGGTTGTTATAAGTCGCCAATTTTATGTTGTCCGATATAATTTTGTGACAACGCAGGTCAAACAGGTTTGTCTCGGTTTTCCAGAAGTAAATTGATGAGTCATTGTGTTTCTGCTTATCTCGTACCTTTTAAAAATAATTTTACTTTTCCATCTAGGACATATTTCCCGATAAGGCGACAGAAAGAAGTATTTTGTCTTGCCATGTGAGATGTCCAAGCATAGGATGCGAGTGGACTGGGGAGACCAGAGATGCCGAGGTGAGAAAAGAGCTTATTAGCTGCGAAGGACAAGTGGTGCCCGCGTATCGCCTAGGAATTGACGTGAATAGTGAAGTGAATTAAATACAAGCCACCCTCCACCCCCTCTAAGATTATTTTCTCACAGTAGCTGTCCATTTTCGTGTTCGTTGACCAATTCGTAGAAATTGGTCATTAAGTCCAAGAGATGTTTGGGAAAACTTATCTCTGGTTCAAGTTATCTGTACGATGTAACAGCTTACAAAGTGTTGGAATTTAGCAAATACAAGATATACTATTAAGCAAAAATTCTATGTTAGACCAATTTTTGCATGCAAACTTTTTCATATAAGAGGTGAATAGAAAACAGTATTAAGAGGTAAAAAATTATGGAGCAAAAATGTCTTTAAAAGAAACATCATCTTGAATGACGTCGTGAGCCGTCCTCTGCGGTTTCAACGTGCAAAAGCCATAATTTTCATCTAAGCTTGTATCTGAGACATGAGATCGACTCTATTCTGCTGGCCAAGGTTCCTGTTCTAAAAGTGCTCTAAACGCGTCCATTTTATGGCAAGAAAGCTCTAATAAGTCTTGGTCATTCGTTGGAAGGGTTTGTATTTTTCCTGAACCCATTAATTACTTAAAGATACTGAGCTATGATCAACTTCGGCGAAGAATAATGTGGGATCATTCATGGATTTCCTTCTGCAGACTCATTTACAGACCTGCGCTTGCAGGATGACTCCCTGTCCGAATCCTCACTGTGATGTCACCATGGAGAAGAGACTTGTGGATGACCATGTGACCAATACCTGTCAATGGAGAATGGTGCAGTGTGGATACTGTGGTGAAAACCACGCAAAATGTGATGAAGAGGTAATTATACAGTATTCCAGTAGCGACAGAAGCGGTAACACTGTAGTTGAAACCCTGAATAACAAGAAGATATATATTGTCCATCTTTTTTGATAGAAACACGCTGCAGAATGTCGAAGACGTCCCGCCGATTGTTCTAATGGTTGTGGTGAGGTTCTTGCAAAGGAAGAGGTAAGAGACATTTTATATTACTTTCTCCCCCAAACAAGTTTTTTCTATGTAACTTAACTTGTGTTCAAACCATCTGGAGGTAGCGGGTAATCTGAACGAAATATCGGGTTCATTGATACAAAAAAAAAAACCAAAAAAAAACCCAAGAAAGGAAAAACGTCAGTGTGTAAGAATCGAATGAACACTTGAATGACAATTTCCATCTCAGGATCTCTTTTAAAAGCGATATTATATAATACAGGATTCCCAAAAAATTCCTACCAATTTTTCGTTAATTCCCCCGTTTAGATGATGGCTCATCAGGACGTTGTTTGCTCTCACACTGTTGTGAGCTGCCAGTATGATTATTTGGGATGTGACAGTAAGGTAGGTTGGCAATACATTTAATTATAACGGATAATAGTAAATACGTTTTTCAGTTTTTTCAGAAATACTTGATATTCTTTACTGACCAACTGACTTTCCTTTCTAAGATTATCAAATCGCTAAAACAATAGAAATAAATGAGAAAAATTTATTCGCAGTACATCTCGAAATAAAATTCAACTTTCTTGGAGTATTTTGGTAAAATTTAGTGACAATGTAGCAGACGGTTACACACCGATGTCACCGGCTTTTGGGAGTGTTTTAATTACAGTCACAACAATACCAAAAAATGTCTTCGAGATTCCCAACTGAAGTTTTACATAAGAGTGTACAAAGGCAACGAGTTTGAACTTCCTTCGTAAGACGTTGGCAGAATTCAAATATTCGGAAGGGATTGGTTACGTTAATCGTCTATCTGTAATATTGCTTCGGAAAGTTGTCAAACTGTCGCCAACTTAATTATCAAGGAAATTGCAATTGCATCATAGCAAGGGTAGCAAAGGTTAATGTTGGTTATCATCAACATCATCGTTACCATCATCGCCATTATTCATTCATTCATTCATTTATATATTCATTCTAAAATTTTTTCAAATAATTCTGTGTCCATTATTTTAGATTAAAAGATGCGACGTAGAAGATCATCTAGAGCAAAACCTCCGATGTCATTTTGAGCTGTCCGTTAAAAAACTTGCTGATGTGCAAGACGAAACCAGAATATTGAGGCAGGAAATGGAGAAAATAAAGCTGGATTACCGAAAAATGGAGTCCAAGCTCACTGGAATAGATAGGGAAATCACTGAAGTAAAACTAAAGCACAAAGAAATGGAAACCTTCGCTCCCTTTATATGGAAAGTGACCGAGTTTTGGGAGCGAGTGAATAAGGCGAGGAAAGACAAAGAGATTCGGGTCGAAAGTGATCCCTTCTATGTCGGTCCTCAAGGGTACAAAGTGAAACTCGCAATGTATCCTAATGGCACCAAAGAGGCCAAGAACGCTTATATCTCGCTATATATTGCACTGATGAAAGGGAAATACGACCCCATATTACCTTGGCCTTTCCTAAATAAAGTGACGCTTTCGGTTCTCGACCAAAACCCTAATGTGATGCAAAGGCACAATTTTGTCAAGTCCTTTGTTCCCGAGGCTTCATGGAAGAGCATGAAACGCCCAGAGGGTGAGGAAAATGAGAGACGAGGTTTTGGAAGGTTTCTTTCCCATGATAAACTGAGATCAGGGTTTTATCTTGTGGACGATATTCTATTTATTAAGTTCGAAATAGGCCCAGCAGATGCATCGTATTTTGGCTAAAATAAAATATTTGGAGAAAATGTAACTTGTATGTGACATCGTTGTTCAATAAAAGTTAACTTTGCCATAACCTTATAACTGGCGTGGACTACTCACTCGATCGATGAAACAATTCAGTTCATCTCTTCAACTATTCTCCTTACGAACAACTTCTTTCCATCAAGGAAGATCAGCTTTCTTGATGTCCTAATTTACTTTAACTCTTTAATCCCTGAGTATCCCAAAAGTATCACTTCTAATTAAGAGAGTAAAGGAAATGACCACGAGACTAAGAAGCTCTTGATTATTGAAAAAAACATCTCCTTTTATGTACCTTAGGAACCGTCCAGAGTACAATATAGGGAACTAGCAAACTTATGTTGGGGTGCAAAGGGTGAAACGTCATTTCATCAATTTTTGTTTTTTTCGAGGTTTTTCTTGGGGTGACAGGCATTAGGTGTAGTGTTTGTGAATGTTTAAGTCTACCCTCCCCACCCCCCCTTGTTTAAATATCGGAGCACGCGTGTTGCAATGTTAATAATTAAAACAACTTGTTGGATTCCTTTCAAAGGTGTTCTTTACTGTTTGTGTTAAATCCGTAAATATACTACACCAGGAGAATTCGAATTTTTTCAAAATCAGTTGATCCATCCTTGAAATTTTTTTTTGCATTACCAACTTCATTCCTATTTTTTACATTATACCATCGTTTCCAACATAATTCAACTGCTGACTGCAATCACTTGACCTCGGTTGTAGCGCCATCCATTGGATAAACCTCAATCCAGTGGATAACGCTATACGTTTTGCTATCACTTATCCGCTGGGTAGCGTTATCCGCCCTTTATACAACTGGGCCCTGATTGATATTTCTTTGCAACAAAAGCCTTCTACATTCATTAAATCTGTAAACCAGAGTAGCATCAAACCATGTCTAAAAGCCTTCTACTCTCACAGGAAATGACGTTCGTGACTAATTTGTCACGCCTGTAATATTTAAAGCTTCCGTTTTTCAGTTTACAAATGGCGGCCGGTGGAGTGCCTGACCTTGGAGGCTACGAGTATGAATTTGTCGAAGAAATTCCAGATGATTGGGAATGTCTTGTGTGTCAGTTGCCTCTAAAAGATCCTGTTCAAATCGAAAAGTGTGGCCACAGGCTTTGTGAAATCTGCGTGGGGTCAATTTTAAGGTAATATTTTGATATGTTCTTTGTTGACTAAAATTCCCTGTTGTACGACGTAGAAAGTTTAAAAATATTTAAGCAAAAGCTAAGCAAGATATTACGCTTGCAGTGGTGAAATGTGTTTTTCAACGATTAGAGTGAGTTGTTAGGTAAAATTTGCTTATTCGAGTCGACGCTCAAGGTTGCGAAATACTTGACGTTTTACGTCAATCGGTATTAATAACACTGCATTACAAATCCGTAAAGAATGAACTCGGTTGGTTATTGTTGCAGAGAGAAACTGGTTTGATGTGCAATCTGAAGGAGCTGCTTTATCAGCAGTGATTATTGCCAGACATTTCACAATTGACAGGATTTAGTTGAGTTCAAATTACATGCACTTAATCGCTTCAGACGGAGAGACGTGTAACGGTGCCAAACAAGCGAACGGAATTTGCATAACTTAATCCTGAAAGCCTTGCGGTTTATATTTGGCGCTCGAAACCTATCTCGTTTCATGAAGTCTTGAAATACAATGTAGGCCAATGCAGAACAAAATTTTATGAGTGTCTTGTCATATTATTACTTTTAAGAGGAACCATCGGGAAATAGGCACTCCCCAGTTACGGCGCCTTTGGTAAACAGTGATCAAGTTTAGAAATAATTTACCCTTTTTAGTTTTTTGGCCACAGGGTTAGACAAAACAGTCCACGCAAATGGACAGATTGGCGTACCCCTGATTAGCAGACTTTCACTCTTTCACACATCCTTGAATGCTCAACCACTTCACCCCCACCCCTCCCCCCCATGTGATTAGCTTTTTCCTACGAAAGTTTCTCACGTCAATTTTTCCTGTTTTAGATCCGGTACACCCCTGTGTCCTGCAGATCGAGAGCCGATATCAAGAGAGAGGGTACTTTCTCTGAGCTATATATGGGTTTAATTTTTCACTTCTCTATTCATAGTTGAATCAAATTTCCTTAACTCAGCTGGTCAGTTATGGTGTTGCACAGAGGATAATAATATTTTAAGTCATCAAAAGAGTGGTGTGAACAACGAAACTTGACTGCAACTTTGCAGGGGTTGCTTAAAAATAAGTCAAGTGGAATTAAAAGTGTTATCTTCTCCTTTTATCCTCTGTATTATGTGTACATAATTTTTTTTTGTTTTGTTTTTGTTTGAAAGAGGGCAAGAAAATAGAAATACACTTAAGGATTTCAAGTTGTACTTCTAAACAATACAAATAACTAAAAGGTGCTTATTTTGAATTGAACCCATATCCATTGGGCTGTCTGTGGTTGCCTGCGAGAAATAATATGGTATAGGTTTCGATTAGAAGAGATATGTGTGTGTGAAAATGGCAGAATGGTGTTGTCTTTGATGCAGCTTAAATGCAGTAAAAGAGTGTTAAACTTGTGATGTTACACTGAGGAGTGAGTATTATGATATAATTCCTAGTTGATGATCATCAAGGCATCACTTATTTTGTTAATTTACTCTTTGATTTTAATAATTTATTTTTTAAAATTTATTTTAGATTTTCTCTGATGTTGCTTGCCATCGTAAAATACTGAATGCCCAGGTCAAATGTCCTAATGAAGAGTGTTCCTGGATTGGAGAACTTAGGCATGTTAAGGTATGCAGTTGAATCTTTTTTAATCTTTGGTTCGGCTTTGAATTGCAGACAAAGAGTATCCGGCAAACTGTAACATTTATTCAGATGGTTAAGGAAATAATCTGTCAGATCAGTTTAATGAATTGGGACTGAAAATGCGTGACATAGTCTTTATCAAGAAAGAAAACTGGTTAGTCACATAACGTGTGACGCGTGACACCCAAAATCAGAGAAACTGATTTGAGTATAAAAAAATTCTGAATTTGTTCCGCTCTGTCACCAAGTGGAAGCAGCCTTATATAGGCCATAACAGGTCATTAGAATCCGTGTTAATCTCCTACATCAGTAACTAACTTCACTCCACTTATCCACCCAACAATTACATCAATTACTAGTGTTACATTACAAAGGAGTACTTTAAACAGAAGACTCAAAATGTACATTTACAAACGATGCCTTGTTTTGTGAGGAACATCTCTTGAATGTCATATCATAGGGAGCCTCTAAGGTCGCATGTTGATACATAAATGTGATGCCTGATCTTTGAAGGTGTCATTGTGGTATTATTGTGTCCTCAGAAACATGGGCAAGAGTGTCCCTACCAGCCAGTTCCTTGTGTTAACGAGGGATGCAATGAAGAGGTTCTCCGCAAAGATATCATTTCTCACATGGAGACCACGTGCCCATGGTCCGTGATACAATGCTCATTCTGTCCTGATCGTTTCCCAAAACTAGAGAAAAAGGTTAGTGGTTGGTAACCCACAAAGATACTCAATATTTCGTGGTTAATGAACGGGATGAAATTCAGTTTGATTTGAAATCATACTTTTGATTCGAATTGAAATAAAAAGTAAATCACAGTCATTTTACAAAATCACACAACTAAATCGCCTTAGTATGGTTTATCAGTGGCCAGTAAGGTATTGGTATTTACTGATCTGGTGCCTAAAAAGGGAAGTGGCTTTTGAACAACAACCGTACAACAAGTTTTTGAGGGGGGGAGGGGGTATTTCTCCGTTATTTTTGTTAAATTATTTTTTGTTTAATTTATTCTTATTCTTACAAAAAAAGTCCTCTGCGCAGTCCCTGGTAGATCAATTGCTCCTCCAGATTGCGACTGCTTTGTTTGTAAATAATTAACTGCTGAGAACCAAGCAGATTCCTAGGATCGAGAGAGTAGTAGGGAAAAAACACACCCTGATGTTACTCTTACGACCCATTCTTTAGGCTCATTGTGAGGCCTGTCCGCGCTATCCCGTTGAATGCAGTAACAAGTGTGGCGTGAACGACATACCACGAGAAGAGGTACTGAGATTGGATTTCACCTCATTGATTCTTATAAAATTTGCCGACAGGTTGAGCTTGAGAATTTAACTATACGTTCAGTAATATAGCTTTTTCACTAATGATATGATTTATCGATTGATGTCATACAGGTCGGTAACCACACTGAAAATCTTTGCCCTTTGACTGTGATAGAGTGTGAGTACAGTGCCATTGGATGCCGAGTCAAGGTAATATGCACCTGAATACCATAACTTCATATATAAATCAGTGTTAATTTATTAAGGCCGTTGTTGTTGTAAGCAATCCTTGCACAACACGGTTAATAAGCAAATCACAAAGTTGTTTCGTAACTTTCTCCAGTTTCAAAGACGAGATTCCAAAGATCATTTTGATGCATTAAAAGACACCCATCTACACTTGGCCTGCAAGAAACTGATTGACATGTCCAAAACAGTCCAAGAACAAGCTCAAACTATTGCACGTCTTGAAGAGAAGTTAGAACGCCTTCACAATTCCCCCTTTATATGGAAAATATCGAACTTTGCCTCTGTCATGAAGGCTGCTGAAACAAAGGAACGTCTTGTAATAATTAGTGATCCGTTCTACTCTAATCACAATGGATACAAATTTGAGGCGGAGCTGTATCCAAATGGCTACCATATCGATGACGATACTGGCAATAAGGGAAAATTCATGTCAATTTACCTCAGAATTCTTGTAGGAGAATATGACGGTCTTTTGATATGGCCGTTTTTCGATTCAGTTGTGTTCACGTTACTTGACCAAAACGCGTCCGTGGAAAAGAGAAGACATTTGCGTCAAGAAGTTCAGCAGACTCCCAATGGACTCGCAAGACCAACAGAAGCCTCCGAAGAGGCATGTGGTTCCTGGGAATTCGTGTATCACAACGATCTATACAAGCGTTCATACATCAAAGACGATACAATATTTATCAAAGTCGCGTTTGTGGAACACAAAGATAGAAAGTTCTCGAGAATTTTCCATGGAGATTACGATCTATAGTCCTGGATTACTTGCCAAAGCAAGTATCCATTTTGAGGAAGCGTTGTCTATACCTGAATTTTTTTTCCGGTACGATTTAATGAAAAGAGGTTCAAAATGCACATTTACAGTGGTATATTCATCATGAATTATGGTAATGAAATAGTTTAAGAATTAAAACTTAATAGTAATCACGATTGTCTTTTTCCTATAAGTCTTTTACTCTACGAGTGAATTCCATTCATATTATCAGTTATGTTAAAATACAGAGATTCTATGTTGTTGTGCTTCTGTCCAGTAATATATAGCAGATGGTGCAAACATGTAGGAACCTTTAATATTGGGCTACATGCCAGATGATTTCTTTTAACATACTATAAAATTTACAGTGGATCTTTACTTTTCGTATCTACTAGAATGTCAAATATATGGAGAATATTTATCTCACAAAACCCACTTTAGAGGTCCTTACTCCGCACTTTTCGTGCTTCTGGTCGTTTACTCTACTAGGAGACACACCCCGTCTTGTCCAACACCTTCCCCCAACAGGTTTTTCATAGGCACTGCGGCACGGGCCAAACGAAGCAAGTAGCTTTGACCTTGACTCTTTTCGAAAAAGAACTCACCGACTTGTTGCTTTGGGCTTCGGAAATCTTACCGCAAGCGCCCACAGTCGATTTAACTGTTTCGTAGAAAAGCTAATTCAGAGCTCTCAAATCACTAAATTACATTTTAAAATGCCTTAAAAATCTGTAGTCTGACTTGCACTCACGTAATCAAACATTGGATGGCCCTCCCTTTGCAAAACTTATTCAATCTTTTTACAGTCTTAAAGTTATTTGTGGCCTTACCCCTCGCAGCTGTCGCACTGTCAGCGCGGTCAGAACCATAGAACATTTTTAGCTCACATTTGTGTACAATGAACGTATACGCGTGTATATGGTTTTGCTAAACTGTGGTCTCACATTTTCAATCACAGAGGGGAGGATAGACTTCGAATTGAATCAAAATTGTGTCATCGCGTACGTAACGTCTTTTTTTAAGGTCGAGATGGGAAATGAACCTATGGATTCCAAATACGTCATTATTCACATCATGCGATTTAGAGGGTCTGGCGAACTTCAATTGCTGGCATCTTGGCATGCCCTTTCTTGTAGGTGTTAGAGCTTTTCTAATGTTTTTAGTCTTCGATGTATTATCTTGTTGGTCGACTAAGGTGAACACCACTTTCTGCTGGAAAGGCCACACTAGTTGGTCGTCATTCCTACCTCTAAGTAATTGGGCATACACAGAGAGATGAAAGTTAATTTCTGGTGGTCCATCTGGGCAAATAGTAAGGCGCATTTTGTACCCGTATGGCTCCACAAAGAATGATTCACTGAAAAAACAACGCTGTGAAGCAGCGATCGCTTTCTCTAAACGCGACCTGAAGTTGGAGAACGACCAAAAAAACTTGATGCTTTGGCATGCTGACTCATCTTTGAGAAAGTGTGTGTTTTCAAATACAAACTGCTTGATCTCTGCACTTGAAGCCTGAAGAACTTTCAATTCCTCTTTGCTTGAAAATGATGAGATCGAAATCGAGTGAAGGAAACACATACCTATGATGACGACACAAACAATGAAGTGTTTCATTTGATCCAGTCTAGCAGAATAATCTTTAACAGTTTCGTCCAAACGGGATTGATTTTGTTCCCTATTCGACCAAACAGTTGCATGGATCTTCCACTGGACAGAGTCGATTTGTTCCCTCACAATTTCAACATTGCTACTTGTTTGATTTTCCAAACTAGTAAATGCTTTTTGGAGGTTTTGGAGTTTTGTTTTGATTTTGGACACGTCTCCATGTGACACTTGCTGGCTGTCAATTTTTGGATTTTCTTTTTCAAACTAATGACTGCCTCACGGAGTTCCACCAACTTTTTGTCTTTTTCGGAGAGCGCCTCCATTTGTGTCCTAATGACACCAACTTCAGTACGTACAGCCTCAAGTCCAGAGGTAAGTTCAAAGACATCCTTTTTAGTTTGTAGTTCTTTCAATTTCTTATTTGTTAGAGTAATCTTTTCATGTAGATCTTGAACTCCCTCGCTTTTCTGAGCTGCATTTGATAATTCCTCGATCTTTTTCGAGGCTGTCACCATTTCAGCTTGCATTCTTTCAACAGTGGCAGTAATCGCAGTTGATGACACCTGGAGCTCCTGAAGCCTCCGACAAGCCAACTCTAGATGGGATTCAGTACATTTCCTTAAGTGATCTGAGATGGATTTCCTTTGGACCTTTGGGAAATATTTCACGGCACTTCAGTTAAAAGGTGTCCTAATCGTGCCTTGTCCTCATCTAAGCAGAGGACAAGGCACGACTTGCTTGTGCATCGCGTGGTTTTTGGGTACGACCGATGTTTTGAAAGTCTTGTAACTGCACGAACCGCTGAATGACGGTAAATCAGGAAACTCATGCATAGGTCAAGCAGTTTTTATCTTATCATACTCTGACGTCCTTTGTGCACTTTAAGACGATGATACCTTTATTATTTTAATTGGTCAATCAGAAAAATAACTATGACAGATGAACCAAGCTTAAAGTTCTTCGAGATAGTTTAGAATCTCGCGAGAATACAATATAGATAACACGTATAAATCTGGATAATCTACTATGCATTCGTTATGGACCGATCAAGAGTAAGTTGTTTTGTATTGTGTATAAGAATATACCTTTCAATATCTATAAGAAGGAGTGCGAAGCTGTAGAGTAAGAAATTAATGAGAAGGGGCAATCTGTTTTAATACTTTGACGTACCTTTACTTTGCAACCAACATAAGCAAATGTGCACTCCACCTTGGTATGGGGACAGTTTTCTTCAATGTGATCATTCATCTGAAAAGAAAGCAAGTTGGTGCTCATAGTGTCGTGCATGTGCAGTTTAAATAGTGTACTTGATAAGCCTGAATTATACATTAATTTTAATTGGTTCTTACTTATTATCTGTTGGAGGACAGACGCATAGATGACGTAAAAACATTTTATTTTTTTAAGAATATGAAACAAATACATTCCATGTTGCCGTGGATCTGTTCTGTAATAGATAAAAGAGGAAGTCAAATTGTGGTGAGACGTTCATCAGTGTCAGACTGGCCGCGCCTCGATCGTGAGCCACTTTTGTGTCTAATCACATTTTGACGTCATCTGTGATCTATTAGTACTGAGCAGACACACGGCAATAGAGAATCTGTTTGTTAAATAAATAGAGGGGGTAAGTTTCTAAAGAAACTGTGGTGCTGCGTCGGTGGGAGTGCATAACAGGTAAGTTGGTGTTAACAACTTAGTTGAAAACGTAAATTGGCCACCGTAAAAAAATTAAAAAGACTGACGTTTCGAGCGTTAGCCCTTCGTCCGCTCGAAACGTCAGCCTTTTTAACTCTTTACGGTGGCCAATTTACGTTTTCAACTCAGTTGTTAACACCAAATTACCTATTTGTTAAACAGATCGTGGGTGATACTCACCTTGTCTCTTGGAATTTTGAGTTCACCACATTTTTGAAGACAAACCATCGGATACTTCGTACACACGTCCAAATGTCCCTAATAGATAACCAACGCTTTCTTTCAGTACGTTTACAATATAACTCATGGAGAATATTTTGACTTCCTTATGGTCATACATTATAGTCAAAACATCTTTAGATGCAAATTTTAAACACGTGATTTTGAAAAACGCATTGTTCTTAAGGAGGCCATCATTGACTGAAACTCAAGCCCTCTTTACTGTCCTTCCGAGTAAGTTAAAATGTTAACTCTGTCCCTGAGGGAATGTTACCCTTCTCTCTTTGTATAAGTTATAAACACTTAGTATAACCTATAATGGTGCTAACACTACCAATCTCTTTAACTTCACCATGTATATACCAGCTGCCTCTTCCAATTTTAACTGCCTTTTGTGATAGGGAAAAATTAACCACTAGAATATAAAACAAAATAAAAATATTGTTCTTGATATTCACCTGCTTATTGCACCAAACAAAGAAAATTTTACAGTAGTGACACTCTACTTTCCTCTTTGGACATTCCCTTGTTGCATGATAATTCAGATCTTTTTTCAAGGGAGTAGCTTCACAATCTTTGTTAGTGCATTTTACCCCTTCAAAACTGCACTTAGATTCATGTTCCTGAAAAAAAAACATATTTCTAAGGTATGTCCATGACATCAGAATACCCACACTGCCACATTATCTATCCATGGCCAGTCAAGACTGCAACATGATTATGAACAAATTTTGTTTTCTTACCGGTAAGAAATATGTTAATTGGCATGGTGCTAAGCATACAGTCAAGCTATCTAGTCTGAATTAAATTTGATTTATTCACCTTAGCATGATAGTTGGTAGGTAGAACTTATTTCAGAAACATTGTCATTTGAAAAAGGAAACAGTGAAAATGAAAAAACACTAAATTGGGAAATAAAAATTTCAATGCATGCAAATCCAAATTTCCATGAATGCTTTTCTTAGACACAACTTATGTACTAGGAGAAATAAACCGCAACACAGTAAATAGTAGGAGGTAACTAAATCATTCAAAAATCAACTAAACTTATGTTGTAGAACCATTAAGATCCTAAGAAAGAGATTTATATGTTAATGAATTGCTTCCTAATGTATTTAATTTTAGTTACTTCCTTTTTCCCTTTTGCTTTTTGCATTTTTCTTTAACAATGTTAATGCAATTAGGTGGATGAGGCAAAATTAATCAAAAGGTCAGACATGTCCCATCTTTCACAGTCATATTAGAGAGGAAGGATTAGAACAGTTGAGATTGGTTATTATATTTTGTATCTCCTTAACTTTCATGTATTTTAAATAACAGAATAATTAAATGCTCTTTCTTATAAAACTTTACAACCTGGCCAAATAAGGTAAAGAACCATAACTGACCGCTATATTTCTGAGTTCTCCAGTCCATTTACAGCCATTTTTTTCGTTATGGCATTTCACACATAAATCCAAAATGGTCCTCTCAGTGGCAACATCTGGATATATGTCCTTTGGAATTTAGGGACAGAAACAAATTTGGAAAAAAGAACATTGAAATAAATGATAGAAGAAATAAACAAACTAGTTCTGAATTTACTAAAAAAATAAACTTTGGAGCTCAGTCTCATCATGTAAGGGTGAATTTTAATTTAAAATGTACAATTTCCCCTTAAATGATGACACTGAGCCCAATAAAAAATTAAAACTCACCCTTAAATGATCAGACTGAAAGCCAAAGTTTATTTTTCTAGAGCTTCAAATTCATCCAATTCCTCAAGGAACTGTTTATATACCATATAAACACCAAAATGACAAGAAAATTTTAAGAATGAACAAAAATTAACTTACATTAGCATGAAAGCCAACTACCAGGTATGTGGGGTGAATTCAACATTAGTAATCAATTTTGGTTTGTAAATGTACTGCAATTAAGTTAGTTGGTGACCTAATTCCAAGATATGATAAGGCAATTATTGACCAAAAAAAAAATCAAAGTTGACTCAAATGTGAAAAAACTGGATCTCACAGGACCTTTAAGGATTGCCAAAGACCTGCCAAAGATTCTTAAAGACAAGGATCCTTAAAGGATCAGTTGTGATACACCTTCAAAGGTCTTCCTATGCAAATAATTAAATGCTAAGATCTCAAGGATTTAATAAAGATCCTCCAAGGATTCTATGCAAAGATCCTAATAAAGATCCTAGCAAAGGTTTCTGTAGGGATTCTTTAAGCTCCTAATGGCCAAAACAAGGATTCTTTCAAGGAACTTTTTGAGATCTTTGTTTAGGATCTTCAAGGATTTGATCAGTATCTACAAGGATCCTTGTCTAGACATTGGTAAGATCTCTGCTAGGATCTGCAAGGATTTGATCATGAGGATCTTCAAGGATCCTTGTCCATATCTTTTCAAGATTTGTGCAAGCATCCCTCAAGATCCTCAAGGACAAAACAAGGATCTTTCAAAGATCTTAAAAGGATCCTTTTTTTATTGCTTAAACCTTCATGCTCCTAAAAGAAATTTTTTGTGATATAATTACTACTTTACTTGAAATTGTTGAAATCTTGCAAAATAATTGAAAATAGACTGAGGTAAGAGAAAAAATAAATCTGCAATGTTCTCAGCAGGCTCCACTTAGATTTACAATGAACTTCATGAAATGATTAAGTTTAAGGCCATGGCAACTCCGTGGCATGTGGGATGGAAACTATGCATTTTTATAAATTTAACCTACACCTGTACATTTGTGAGTACTTTTGGTTTGCAAATGTAAGTAATGCAGAAATAAAAATTGTAGCTAGTTAGCAACCTAGTTTAAATATCCAATATTTTGTCCACTTCACATGATAGGTGCATTATTTTATGTTTAAGTGGAATTGAAAGAGATGAATAAGTAAAAAAAACCGAGTAAAAACAAACAGGGGAGAGAGAAGGAGAGGCAGGCAGACTGACAGACATACAGATAGACAGAAAGACTAGTAGACAGGGAGAGAGATCACAGAAAATGAGGAAAGACAATGAACATTTACTAATAACTGAGCAAGCTGTTCTACAAATGTCCAAGTAAAGTGATTACTTCTTTCAATATCAATATCTCATCCTTATATCACTAATACTAATGAAAATTTTTATCTGTTAGCATAAAATTTCCACGAAGATGGATAACAACACTATACACTTCTTACCTGTTTAGAACGTAAATCAAGAGATTGGCGGTCAATGGGGCATTCTCTTTTGCTAATGAAAAACACTACTGATTAATAAGTCTACCCTTTGTCACCCATAAAAAATATGAACTCTTCACAACAACAATTGTGAAGCTACTAGTATATATTTGTTCACCCTGGCAATATTTGTATATTTACAGACCTCTTTGGAAACTTTTGGGATCATGTGTACTTAAGGCATTTGTCAGTTGATTATTGGTTAATATTAAACAATTATTGGATGAGGTTTTTGTGATATCCAGAATAATCAAGGTTGAGGTAAGGGGTTATCAGCTGAAGCTGAAGGCTGAGGCTGATAGCCCTTATGGAGACCTTGATTATTCTGGATGTCACAAAAGCTGAATCTAAAAATTGTTTTATTATACATAATTGACCAAAAAAATAATTGTCATGACAGTAAGTGGAACTAATTATTTAATTCTAAACATGTAAAAATATATAAATCAGCAAGCAACACAATTTAGCTCCCAAACTTGACATAATTACCCTTAGAAATCATGCACCACCATTATAAATGACATGATTACCTGTGACCTTGAGTGTCCTTGACATTATTATTGTGTAATCTGCAGCTAGATGACACCCCAGGCACCGATTTAAAAAATTCACTGTTAGCTTTTGGCCAATCAGAAAAGAGATAGTAAGTTGAATGTATAGTAATATTAGGAAACATGTCTACCAAGTGTTGGTTGTAATATTAGCTGATACTTGACCTACATACATGTATCAACCAACATACCCACTGACATTAGTTGCCTCTTGAGTGACAAACATGTGGCCGAAACTTGGCCAATCAACTTTACTGACACTCGGTCAACACTACTGTCACTTGGTCAGCTCTTGTTATTGAGTTCTATCTTATGAATTCAACTATTAACTTATTTTTTCTAGCCCCTTGAATCTCTTCTTTCATGTCCCCTGTGAGTAGGGGGGTTGGAGACCGTCGTCATTCCAGAAAAACAATGCTTAACAATTCACTTAAATGTCCAACAGTCCACTGATACACCACTGACATTGGACTGAAATGCTGCTGACTGTTCATGGCAACATAGCAATTGAGGTGTTGGCCAAGTGTCAACCAACAGGAGCAACTGATGATCTAGCAACTTGATTAACATGACATCTGAGTATTGGCCAATATAATGATTGACACTCGGTCGAAATTTCAACTAATAGTATTGGTTGACACTTCGCGAACAGATGCCTTAAGTACACTAACTTTTGAACTAGATAAATTCAAAGGGAGTTCATAATATTATGGTAATATTGCAATTGGTCTCCCCCAAACTCTTATTACTTCCGTTTCTTTAATTTAAAAGTTAATGGATGTACCTCCTTTCTAGACGGAAAAAAATTAGTAAATAACTAAAGAAACAAAGAAATTAAGATAACGAACAGAAAAAGGATAAACTTGGTAGAACCTTGAAAGTGGAAGCTAGATAATTGTAAAGTGTTCTCCACGCATAGCATTGCTTATGTAAGCTATACTGGGCTCCCAACAAGTTGCATTATTGTGATTCATCGTACCCAATCGAGAGTACAACGTTGCTTCTTTACAAGGCGCCCTATTTCTTTTAAACTTAAAAAAGCTTAAAATAATAGTTTGAGGAAAATAACATCGCAGATTATAATTTCTGATGATTATAACGCCAGCGAATTAACGATTTGCGAATTCATTCTTTTTTTTTTTTTACATACCTTTAATAATAAAAAAATGTTCACGATCGCTCGCAACTCGTCAGCGAGTAATTGAGCCATCGATGTTGACTTTATATTTGGAAATTTTAGCCTAAACAGAAAACAAAGTACGGAAAATTGCATATTTGGAAAAAATAGCGTGGCTTTCAGCTTCATTTCCCACATGCAACCCAGATTTATGTTACCTTTTCATCGCCTTTGTTAGACACCTCTTGCAAAATCTGTGGCCACATTTCGTCTGCACCGGTCCCCGCATAGGACATTCACATATTGGACATATATATTCTCTAGGCACTTTCGCAACGAACTCGTAGTCAAATCCACACGTAGACATGACGCTTCGAGGGTACGCAAATGAAAGTGTTACGTGTGTTGTGAAGCGAGGTCACGCGTGGTAACACGCATGTCAACTGTCACCTGCCGACATGCCGACAGCGCCGTGGTCCGGATCGACACGTCAGTTACGGAATGACCACCCGGCGAAAGATAGAAGATTTCCATGCTCTGTTGAAGAGAGACATTTTCTTCGGACAACGTTTGTTAATATCCTCGGTAATATTTAGTTGAACATGCAGTAGCAGTAGCTGATCAACAGTATAGAAACCATATCCTAGAAAATATAGCCTGAGAGGGAATAGCCAACAATTAGGAAACCAGAAATGTTGTCCCCTCGATTGTCAGATAAGGCTGTTTAAGTCATTACAGCATCACACGCGCGTAAGGGTGGCATTTCGAAAACGGCCTCTGTATTGTCTCTTTGAAACATTTCTCAAAAAATGCGCGCGAATCTGAAACATCACCATCTTGGCTAACATACTTAAATCTAACCACACCACCCACTAATGAGAGGGCGCGTTTCAGCAATAGAGCAAAATTTTCCAGGTTTCATGACGTGATAAAACTGATGGAAAACACTTAAAAAGCTTGTAAATCATGAGCGCGTGAAGCGAATGATTTACAAGATTTTTATGCGTTCTCGCAGCATCCAGACTAGGTTTATTTCGTTTCTAAACCCGTGAAAGTGTGTTCGATTGCTTTAATGACATAGATATCAGGAGAGAGAACAATAGATAATTCAGTTACGATGTGATCAAGTCGCTGATTCTTCGCGAATCCTTTTACTCTCATGAAAATCAACAACAAGCGCCAAAATGCTTTTTCGGCCAAATTTTCTTCGTTTTCCTGACACTCCTTTTTTATTGAGGAACTAAAATACCGTTTTTTATTGTTTGTAACGATTCTGTCTACATATATACCAGTAGCTTCGCAATGTTGGTATTGGAGGAGTTTATCGCCTAATGAATCGAAACATAAACTTGGGAAGTGGATTGACTCGCCTGATGATACGTACTATGTACAGTTCTGTAATATTCATAATGACAACTGTTATAACACTGAAGAACAAACTTCAACACCCTTTATCGTATTAACATTGTGAAACCGACAAGACATTCAAGAGACACAGCTAAGTGAAAATTAACTGAATTCAAGTAAAATTAAGTAACTGAAAAAAAACCTATTTCCTTTTTCTTTTTTTTCTATCACTTTAAGAGTGTTCATAATCGCCTAATTGTAAGTCACAAACTCTTCAATCACCACATAAAAACTCAAAAACGATCTTCTGTGGTATAAAAAGTGAATGATCATTTTCTTTATCTGACATGTTTTATCACCCTGAATATCAGCAGATATGATTATTTATTCAGTTTTGTCTCAGTTCTTTCCACATAATTCAGTTTCCTTCTCTAAGACAGGAATAACTATCGCAATAAAGGTTAGAGTGTCTACTTCCACACAGAAAAATAGCGTGTCGCCTACGATGTAATGTCTAGTTTTAAGCTGCTCCTGCGTAACAAATTTGCAAAATCCGAAAGCGATATTCTGAGCTCTTTCCTCTACCGGCCTGGAGTAGCAAGGACTAAAGTGCCCATCGTTCCTTGGATAACTACACATATGAATATTTCGCCTCAGTTTTGGACAAGGCTGCTGATCAATAAGAGTAATCGTAACTTTCTTGTCAAAAGGCCAGGGCAAAATTCCATCGTATTCATTTTTCATTAAACGCACAAAAATCGACAGATGAGTGTTCAATCCGTCATTGCGTCCATTGGGATGCAATTCCAAGCGTATTTTGTAACCGTATGGACCAGTGTGGAATGGTTCACTATATATAGTGATGAGTATTTGATCCGTCCTTAGCTTTCTGAAGGCAGTCATCAACTTGGGTAAATTTCCAGACAAACTTATTGCCGACGTGCACATTATTTGAGACCTCTCGAGATAGAGTTCGTGTTTCGTCAGCAGAAAAGGCGCAGCGTTTACCGTCCGTCATATCTGCAAGCTGGGCGACTCCAGAAATTCTCCTCTGACTTCGGGGAAGGCCTGTTGGTCTTGGGAGAGGGGGCGTCGAAGGGCCCACCAATGTTGAAAGCTGAAAGGTGCTCATTCCAAGGGCACCAGCTTGCAGCCTCTTGCCAGTGCTTTCTGGCCTTGTGATTGGTAGCTCTTGTATCTTTCGTCTTATTGCTTCGATTTCGCCTTGTAAATTTTGTTGGATTCTACGATAATTTTCTATCATTTCATCACGCAGTTCCCCTTCCCGTTCGATGACAGTTAATCGCGCCTCAAAGGGTGACAACTGTTTGTTTATTTTGCTTCACAGCTGGAATTTCACCGTTTTGATTGATTCCTCGGTATTGCCTATTCTTTGCAAAACACCATTCATCGCAGCATCGAGTTCTCTCAGGTTTGTTTTTATTGTAACTAAACCCTCCAGTTCGTCTTTTCTGATAATGGTTCATTCTCAGGTATTTGTAACCTCGCACAAGCTAAGTTCAAAATGGGCTTCGACATTGGCTTGTAAATGTTGGTGTGGCCCATTCCTTGGTGTATTGAAGAAGAAAAAAGGATCATCAAAATTTTCAGTTTAAATATGCACCAAGAGAAAATAAATTAAGTTCAGTTTATATTCTTTTGCATGCACCCATTTGTGGCCAATTTCTTCGAAAACTCTGAAATGGTTGCTTTTCGGCCAAAGGAACCACACGCCATTGCAGCAAACAAACGAGCAAACTCTCACAACTTCAAAATAAAAAATTTGCATTTACTTACAATTACTTTCCTCGCCGTTTACTTAATGAACAGAGGTAAATCTTCTTACATGAATTAATCGTCAATGAGAATGAATAATACTTCCGTTAGATCATAGACTGTTTTTGAAGAAAACATTGTCGTGACAGTCCTTGCCGAACTAGTTTCGTTGTTTTTCAAACGTGTACATGCGTTTTTTTCTCCTTACGCGCTCTCTTATTGACAGGTGTCAGATGGAGACAGATACTTGTGAAAATAATGTTTCAAAATTTGTTTGGAAGCCTTTAAATCACCTTTATCATTACGCAAATGAAAATGTTTCGGTGAAGCATCTCTCTTTAATTTGTATCACCTCTATTTTAACTACCATTTACTCGCTCAAAAACCGTTCTGTTTATGGAAGATCTTGCCGTATTTACAGCCCTAAATCATTCGGGTCCTTTCGGGAAGAATTTCGTTAAGTTAAAAAATAAATAAATATATTTGTTTTATTGTTTATTTTCACTAAGTATGTCGCTCATTTAGTACGTGGGCAGGCGTTATTTCACTATACGGCCTGCCAAATACAAAAATACAAAAGTTTGAAAGAATTGAAATCTTCTCCCTCTATTGGAACCCAGACTGAGATATTATAAATTACTTATTAACCTCTTTTTAGTGGTGTGTGCTGTAAATCCAAGCGAAAAAACTTGGCCTGCAAGTTACAGTACGTACCTCGAAGTCCCCTTTTTTTGGTAAGGGGGGGGGGGAAAGGGGGAAGGAGAGGGGGGGAGTTATTTATCAAGTGTTAGTTGGCAAGTTATTACGGAACTACTAAATTGAATACACACTTGTGTGTACTTGATAATGACCCACAATCCACTCCAGTAACAAACTTGCAACGATAAAACTTAGTAGATGTAAAGTTTTTAACCTTTATACGTAGTTTAGAATACAGAGAGTAAAATAACGGTTCATTTTGGTGCAAAAAGCAATGTCCTAAGGGGAGTTTATGATATTTTCTTTTTTTCAAATATCATAATAGTGTCTGGCCTGTAAACGTTTTCACAATTTTTTACAAACTTTCCATTATTTCCATGTTACGGATCATTATAGGAGTTATAATCAAAGTTATTACAACAATTACTTTTTATATTACATCATTTAGTACTCACTGACTTAATACATATAACACATCATCATCATTTATATGAAATCTTACAAACCTACGAGTGGAACAGTTTTTAGCTCTTTAACTCCCATGAGTGAGCAAGACAGAGTTTCTCCTTACAATATCAATACAATGTCAACCAGATAAGTGGTGAGAATGAAGAAAAATATCAATTTGGGAATAATTTGGGAACTAATATTACAAGAATTTTATGGTTGACAGTATGGAGAATGACAAATTTGATCTGATAAGCGCGTAATGTTTACAAAGTGTTTGTGTACTATTTATGTCGCCTGTCTCTCAGTATAACTTGAAAGGTGATTTCCAAGGCCAAACGGCCTGGATCTTTTTTCATGGGAGAGGGTTAGTTGCAATAGAGCACTTCAACTGTACCTTTGCTTGGTTGAACTTTTTCTCTGAAAAATGGAAAAAAATTAATCCACAGCACATTTAGGCTGTGACTTAAAGTGGGACGGGGACGTGGGGACTGGGACTCGATTTTTTTAACAGTTTCAAGACCCCCTGCGTTGAAACTATTCTGTTCCCAGATTTCTCACGGAGAAATAGGCAAGCAAACATGTCTGGCCGAACCATGGACGTTGAAAAGCATCGGCTACAACTAACAAGCTCTCCAGCATATAATAGCTTTCTCGAGACCACCGAAAATTGTACTCTACAAATTCAGCGCAAATATCAGGTATTGTTTGTTTATCACGTCCCCGAGTCCCCACGCGTTCCCGAGTCCCCGAGTCCACGAGTCCCACGTCTCCGAGTCCCACGTCTCCGAGTCCCACGTCTCCGAGTCCCACGTCTCCGAGTCCCAAGTCTCCGAGTCCCAAGTCTCCGAGTCCCAAGTCTCCGAGTCCCAAGTCCCCGAGTCCCACGTCCCCGAGTCCCACGTCCCCGAGTCCCACGTCCCCGAGTCCCACGTCTCCGAGTCCCACGTCTCCGAGTCCCACGTCTCCGAGTCCCACGTCTCCGAGTTCCACGTCCCACTTTTAGTCACAGCCGCACATTTACAAGGTGACGTGAGTGCCTCACTGTGTGCTACTTGGTTTGTGATTTTCTAATTAATATAATTCCATGTTCAATAATAATCTAATGATAACCAATAATCAAATTTGCAGCTCCCAACATGCCCTCCTCAAACCTTAAAAAACTGTAGGGAAGAGGGAGGGGTTATGAATTAAGAGGGGGTCTCAAAAGTGAAGTCTCCTTTAGCAAAAACAGATTGAACAAAGAGTTTTGTTGCAGGTGGTTGGGATCATAAGATGGGTGCATGGGACAGTACTCATGAATTGAAACAACCATGCTGTTATTCAATTTAAAGCCTGAACAATTTGTTAAAGGAAGATTAATAGTAGTCCATTTTACGGTTGTGTGACTGGTTGACTTTGTTATGATGCAAACCTTGCTGCTTTTCAAATGCAAATTACTAGATACTGGTCTCTATCACATCAAGATCACCTTCAGCCTCGCTCCAAATCAAAGGCTTGGCAGCTAAGTACACAACTGTAAAATGGCCTTAATTGAGACATGTTTCAATCTTTTAAGAGTTAGAACCCTGAGTTACATAGTAATAAAGATAGGGGGAATCATACTGTTTAAGATTAATTGCTGAAGCTGCATTGTGTCTGAATAGTCCATTTTACATTTGCCTGCTTGGTTGCCAAGCCTTTGAAGAGGAGTGAGGCTACAAGTTTGACCTTGTTTCAATGATACACATGTTCCAGCTTCTCAAATGTAAGTTACTTTGATATCATGCTAACAAGATATTGGTCTCTATCACAATATGGTCACCTTCAGCCTTACTGCAAATCAAAAGCTTGGCAACTATAAGTTCACAACCGTAAAATGCCTTATTGTTTTTGTTAACATATTTCTTTCCAAATTACCCTTTCTATACCCCTGACAAGGTTTTGTTTAAACTTCACTTTTGTGACTTAATTGTACCAAGCTTTAGAAAGAAAAAAATTAAACAATGGCATATTGCTAGATGTGCATTGATCAGAGCCATAAAAGATAAACATCTGTGCACCATCATGCAAAAAATCAAGTTATATAATACCTCAGTGGTCATTTAGTTCAACTGTTCAAAGTATCATAGTTTGAAATTGCAGGGACTTTAGGGTAAAGTGTGTTTTTAAGCAGCCAGTAATAGTTTGTACCAAATCAAAGAAATAAACTTAATTGTTGTCCACTGATTTGCTTGGTTGAAGAATCTCAAATTGGTGGTCTGGTCTGATCAAGACCTGAATTCAACTGGTTGCAAAGACCTTAACTCCAACAAAACATTTCTTTAAAGCTCAGAAATCTTAGCAGGAAGTCAGCTGCATTAATGGCAATACTTCTCCGCATCCCAATCCAGTTTGGACTGAAAGATGATGAATTCTCCTTACCTGTGAACAAGCCAGGCCTCAAAAATCATATGCATTTCAGAAGTGGCTGAACATTTTTAACCTTGTTTGCAAATTCGTTGTACTTTCTTGTAGGTTTATAAATAATATACCTGTTAACATTTTCAGCCTCAGGCATTGTTGCTGAGGTTGGAAATTGTTGAAATTGAATTCATTCAAAATTCTGATCAAAGGATATATTTTGGCACCTTCTCTCAAATTCTTTATTTTTCATACAGACTTCAAAAGACAAACAAATTTACATGCTCTGGACACTGGTCCCCATAAAATAATATTATACTAATCATGAATTTTTTGATAGCATAGTGGTTAAAATCTAGCTATCCTGTTCTCAAATTAAAACCAGTTAAAAGCCAGTTAATCCCATTGTGAGAAAGGCATATTCCTATAAGTATAGAGGAGAGTTCTTCTCCCAACCTCCTCCCACACCCAACAGGAAACATGGCATAATTTTTTAATATCTAGACGATCCCACAACCCTGATTCTTGCTGAAAAGTTTTTTCTTTTTCTTATTGACCTGCTTCAGTAGCACAAACACCATGATGAGAATCACCGCCTGAACAGTAGAGTGCTAAAAATTCTTCCGATCCTCAGTGCTCTTCGCTTTTCCTTGAAGAATGAAGACAGCCAACCCGGGTTTGAATGGGGCTAAGGGAAGAGTGGGTCCGGAAATCAAAACGAACGCTTAAGCCTTTGTAGGCAAGCTAAACTTGGAGATGAATAAATTATTTACAGAGGTTAATCAAAGAGAAAAATCTCACAATAGCCAAGATCAAATTTCTCAAAAAATAACCTTCTTAAACACACTGCACCCGAGCAGTATTTATGGAGTCGATATTTCCGCAGTTCTTCCACACTACATATTATGTAATTGTGTATGTTCCCGCTCGCAAAATAATAGCGAACAAAGATATTCCTGGTTTGCTTCGCAAAGTTACAAAGCGTCTGACAATAGGGAGTTGCTGTTATAAAAGTACTTCACCGCAGAAACGGAAATTTTCAGGCAATATTTCCGTATGACCCCATACTTCATTACCAATACAGTTCTTTGGAAAAAAACAAAAAAACAAAAAAAAAACAAAACAAAAAAAAAACGATGGATTTCCTTCGTCTGCGATTAGGGGTTTGCTTAAGAATACTAAATAGTTCTATGGGAAACTTGCCGACGGTCCTACTAAAAGGAAGGGAAGAAAATTTCACAGCCGACTACTTCTAAAGGCGATGGTGAAGAGCTGAGCTGCAATACTGAAAGGCCTTTTGAGTGACGGTTCCTTGCATGACCGGAGTCCACAGCCCAATATTTCATCGCCTTGGGGATTACATGACCTTACATACAAGCTGGTCGCTGGTTAAATTCACGCTCACCAGGTCTGGCTTCTCCTCGCAGATTTTTTGTAAAAGTCTTTTACTGCAGGTAATACATTTTTCATGATGATTATTATAATTGCATCTAATTTCGCTCACCGTTTGAAAAGGGCATGCACGACGACGATTTTCATATATGTTGATGTTAGACTGAATCAATTTAATTCATCAAGGCTTTGGAGACTCGTACTTCGCCAAGATAACCTTCTCTTTTCTAGAATCGTTAGCTTCCACTCGAAAATAAGGGCTAAATGCTTAACAAGTCACGCGATATCTTGTTTTCCAGATGTTGATTGGCGTGGAGTAACAGAAGTATCGAATGGAACGTTTGATCACGCATGTTCGAAGACTTCCGGTCCGAAGGAAGAAAACGAGAGGGACACCAGTGAGTGGGTGCGAAATCACAGCAAATTTCTGCGGGTATGAATACCAGTTCTCAAACAGAGCTTTTATGGACGGAAAATGTACTGTGTGTCACTTGAGAATGAAAGATATGTTACAGAATGTAGAATGTGAACATAGATTTTGTAAAACCTGAATGGAATCCTTATTGAGGTAGGCGCAGTGAACGCCATAAATAATCAAACGATTTTGCCACCCGTATAACCAGTATGATCAAAGGAATAGCTGAGATGGGCGATATTTACCTACGATTCGCCTGAAAAACCTGGTAATTTTGTGGTTTAGGAGGAGAATTTGATTAACTTGATATTACGTGTCAGCTCGAGAAATCGTCAGAGGTTAACAATGCAAACTATGAATAGAATAACAATATGTATCGCATAAGTATGTCGCATGTAAATGATCAACAGGTCGCTATTTGTAAAGCCTGTGTTTTATTTTTGTGAGCCTTTCAACACTTCGTGTTGTGTATAGTATATAAAGGGTTTCTCTCAACACGATCAGCACGAAACAGAAGAGCGATATCGAAGCATTTGTCTTCCATTAAATGAAACAATACAACGGTTGAATAAATATTTACATGTGATATGTAAATTTTATTTGTTCAGAAAGCCGTTGCCGACATGCCCAGCTGATCGCCAGACATTGTCAAGTGAGAAGGTATTTATCTAGTCACGCTTTGAAGGAAAGTCACGTTGTCACGCCAACTCTTTTAGTTCAATTATATCTAGGTTTAACAAATAGTTATGGTTTTAAAAGTTTAAAAAATTTTCCGCCTTGCCTTCCATCCTAATGTGACCGAAAGGAATTCATACATTAGGTTCTTGTTTCAGCAGTGGGATTACTATTGTGTGGATTTGAATTTTAATACCTAAAAGCGCAACCTTTGTATTTTTTTTCTATTTTTTAATTTTTTTTTTTTACGTGATTGTGGTCTTTAAATTGTATTTTATCATTGACAGGAAACACTGTTGTTGAAATTCATCAACACCCACAAGTTACGAGATGGCAAAATAAGACACTGAATAGTAAACTGAAAACTGAAAAGAGAGAAAAACGCTGTTTAGACATAATGCTTCTTGACTGGATTTGTTTTTTAGTGTTGTTAGCCTGCCTCGTCATATATTGTTTTTCATTGACTCTTAGATTATACCAGCTGCCGCTCATCAACAGAAATTACCGACTCGTTCTGTGAAGTGTTCCAACGTTGGATGTCCTTGGATAGGAGACCAGCGGGCAGTGGGGGTAAAATTGCGTGTTATTTATTTTTGATAACGTTTCAGTGAATGGAGGAAATCTTTGCATCTTATCTGCACTGTAAGCCGTTTGAGGGGCTCAACAAGCGGGCTAATGAGATGCTGCCTTGGTACAAAATTATGAAAGCTTCTATTTGTTTTATACTGAATGGCGGTAAGCTTTACACTGAAACCTTTGCTTTTTTCCTCTGTCACTAAATAAAACTCCAAACAGAGTGAAGTTTTAGTAAGCCTATCCCTCCCCCCCCCCACTCCTCTTTTGTGCTCAGCGTAGTTTGGCAGCCAAGAAGCCTCAAAGTTCAAGAGGGTATATTTTCATAGAATGCTGTATGATATTGCCGAATACTTTACTAATTTTCAAGCTCAAGTTTACGTTGAGTGACTCAGCGTAAGGGTTACTTTAATTTGCTGCAGAAACATCACTCGGAGTGCCTGCTGAAAGTCCTACAGTGTCCAAACTCAGGATGCACGGAACATTTGACGAAACAAGACATGACAACACACGCAGCATTTGATTGTTCATGGAGGAAAATAGATTGCAAGTATTGCGGAGAAACATTTATTAAGAATCAGAGGCAGGTATGTCAGTAAAACCCAACATTAGAAAATTGAACTTGATTATCCTATTTGAATCCTGAAAATCCGTCGATAAACGCTGCTAGGTTTAAAGTACCCGAATGAGGTTCTGCTCCTCTGAAAAGAATTTGCTGTAAATAAAGGCTAACACCACTCTAACAAATATCATTAAGTCAGTTTTCCTCTTTAGCATAGTGGAATATTATAAACATCTTGCAAAGATCATGGTTGAAAATTTTGCTTTTTCTCAAATCTCTTCGAGTTTGTTTGTACAGCAGGTGTTGACTGAGAAGTACTTTCAATCTCGCATTATTTTGCATTTTGCCTCAGTTTTTCGCGGCTATCTGTAACCGGTTCTAAGCCTTCAGTTAGTAAAACAAAGCGCGATAGTGAACATTTAGCAGCGGAGGGGTGAAAAAATAAGGGAGGCTTGGGTCGGGTCGGGTACCCACCCCAAACCTCCCTCGCTTTTTCACTCCTCCTTTACAATGGCGCCGTTTCAGCTATTTTGTTCCGTTTTACTAAGTGGACGCAGGGTAGCCTATTTGTAAATCTATATATCATTGTGGTTTTTGTCCTGTACCAGGAACATTTTGATGTTTGCCAGAGGGTTCCTGTTCAATGTACCAACAAGTGCGGATTAACTGATATCCCACGAGATAAGGTTTGCTCCTTTCGTTCTTCAGGAGAAGGAAGATAATTATGATGCAGATTTTATAGCGCACCTCATACACGAAGGCCTGAGGATCGACAAAGTTAGTTTTTAATTGGATAGAATGCGGTTTATTTTTGTGGAAGTCATGCTTGAGAAGCTACGCCGGTACCTTGTTTTACTAGCCGGAGACAGGCATTGCCAGTGTAAACTTTCTTGCTCATTCGATCACATCACGATTTTCTCGATTTGGGTTCCACCTTTAAGCGCTAGATTCGAAGTCCACTATAATTTCCATCAGAACTATTACTTAAAATTTGAAAAAACTCAGTCGGCTCTCTAGGGAATTGAGAACGATTTCAAACTTAAACGACCACGTTTTTCATTCTACCAAACAGCTGAAATTTGTGTTGATTCAGCCAGTGGTGAAGATACCGAGTGCGTTATACACTAACCCTGAAATAAACCTAAGAAGTTATATCAATTTACAAATGATCAAGTACATTTGCGACACGTACCCTTCCATCCACCACTGGGCAATTTATTTTTTCGATGTGACAAAAATGAATTGATATTGCCATCCCTAAGGGAAACATTATGAAAGTGGTAGCTGTTCCGAAGATACCTTCTCTAGGTAACTGACACGGATTTGGATGTCTATGACCTGAGACCTGTATTGCCCAAATTAAAATAATCACATTTCATTCCTTTGCTAATATCTGTTTTATTTCCAGTTGGAGGTTCACATTCGTGACGAATGTCCTAATACTGAGGTTTATTGTGAATTCAAGAATTTAGGATGTGAAGCAAAGGTATGTTTGTATCATCATATTTTTCAGATAATGCACTTTCCAACTGATAAGTTTTCATAACCTCATCGCTTCTTTATTAAACTTTTGATATTGTACAGAAAATCTACGTGTTTATCATTTCTGAGAGTTAAAAGTTAGCCCATTATTCTTTCTTTTTTGCAGTTCCCACGATCAAATACCAAGTCGCACTTGGAATCCAACGTTGAATTTCATCTCAACATAGCTCTTCTTGGTCTCGAAGCCACGCGCCATCGAGTTCGTGCTCTGGTTGGTATGGTGAAGGATCGGTCAAAGAAGATAGAAGGATTAGAAAAGGGCGTGTCAAAGGACAGTGATCGCTCTCAACCAATAGCAAAGCGGAGGGGAACAACTGAATGCTCTCTCTTTGTTTGGACAATAACTAATTTTCAAGCTGTTTACGAGCGAGCATATTCTGGGAAACAAGAAGTCATTCTAAGTGAACCCTTTTATTTGATTAAAAACGGGTATCGATATCAAATCAAAATGATGCCAAACGGAGGTGCAGCTGCGTCAGATCTTGTTGCAGATAATTCATATAAGGGACTTTGGTTGTCGCTCTTTGTTAAAGTTGTTCCTGGTGAATTTGATTCCTTACTATCGTGGCCGTGCAGGGAGAAAATACGGCTGACCATTATTGATCAAAACCGGAGTCAGGATAAGAAAAAAAACATATCGACTGTTATTGACTTGAACAAACAAGAATGTCCTCGACCTTTAAGCGGAAGAGGTGAAGGAATTGGCTGTCCCGAGTTTGTTTCTCAAGGCGTTTTGCGAAACGGGGCATATGTTAAAAATAATGCAATTTTTGTAATGGCTAGCAAGGTGTAGCACGAGATCTCGTGGATTTGCAAGTATTTGTTAATTTGGTGAAATTAATACAATACCATTGTGACTAGTTCTTACCTTATTGAAGACAAACGCATTTCAGTCTTCACCATCGATTCCAGACAGAAGCAGGATAGTCACGTTTCATGAAAAATGGCACATTTTTGAAAAATATGGTTATCTTGCTTCTGTTGTTTAAGTAGGCCATCGCTGAACCCAAAAAATTGATCGACATTCAGCACCACAGACGTCACAGAAAGAAAAGAATGATCGAATTCCACTCACCCTCACTTTCACGCAGTGGAATCTATCATTCTAGAAGACTTCAAATTACTTCAAATTGATCCGGGACTCGTTTGATCTTTTCGCAACCTCTGCTGAATCCATTCAAACACGACTAAAACATAATCAACTTTGGTCTGAAGTGCACTCCAAACAAATGATCAGCGCGGAAAATTAAAATGCGCGGGCGCACGATGCAAAACTTGTCCTTCATTCAACACTGATAAAGTGATCCATTGAGATCACTGATCATTTCCCCTAGGCCTGTACCTCCACCAAAGTCACCAATTGCACTGATTGCTGTAAGGTATACATCAGCAAAACAGAAAAACGATCAAGCGACACCGAGATTCCGGGAACACCTTCGCGACTAAGAGAGGAATGACTAAGACGCATCCAAACCTGTCGCTAGATACTTTAATCTTCCCAATCTTGCTAAGCCTGATTTATGGAAGTCTGCGGCCTTTCCTTTCATCTAGACGGTTCAGAAAGCTGCAAAAGTTTAGAGCAAAAAATTATCTCTTTAATCGATACTCTTAATCGTGACATTCGATATTCATCAAAACCAGGAGCCCATGGGCTCCTGTCAAAACCGATTTCCTCGCAAAGGCCAAATTACTCTTTGGAAATGAGATTAAAGACTGCTTTCTCTTTACCTCATCATAATAAAACACAGAAATTTTAAAGAGTCATTAGCATTTTGTAAATTGTGCAATTAGTTCCCTCTTCCCTTTGACGATGTACATACGTCGCTCGGAAGCTGCTGTACATCGTCAGTAAATTCGACCTTCTTATATAAAATGAAACATCGCCCAACAGTGGTTCGTCGACAAAAAGGCTGATGGTACAGTAGTGGAAGCGATGAGTCCATACATCTCTGGTGAAACCCATACTGAGAGGAGTATTGTTCCTATAATGTACCCCGTACAATACATATGACCTCGGGTGCAGGATCTCTCTTCTTACCCTAACGAGAAACCCTGGGAAAGACAGAGATGATATTTTTCACTTTTGTGTCGCGTAGGATTGAATACACTTCCTGCTTCATTTCGAAAAGCAGTACTATAATGGCGGCGACAGACAATGAACCAAAACTTGGCGGGTACGATTGCGAGTTTACAAGCGATGTTCCAGAGGAATTTAGGTGTCCTAAGTGTTGTTTACCGATCAAGGATCCAGTACAGAGCGTTCAATGTGGACACAGATTTTGTAGCATCTGCGTGGAATCACTCCTTCGGTAATTGGTTACCACTCTATCATAACATAGCAGCCTTCTCAGCATGTTAGATCATGTTAGCAATTGGTTTCTTTGGTACTTGGTACTTATCAAGTACGTCGTGATTCGAATGCTGGCGTGATGTCAATTATTTTGTTATTCTGTCCACGTCGTCGAATTCCTATCACTGGCAATATCTTAGTTTTCGTGTTTGCTGCGTGGTTTTCATGCTTTTAGGACGAAATTTTTATAACATCCCCCCCAGGGTTACTAAAGGGAACACCGATCAGTGATGTCTACGTAGTAAAACGTTCCACCGATTATCTTTCTTTGTTTCTCCTTTGTCTGTCAGACCGCCGTCGCCATCGTGTCCAGTAGACGGGCAACCATTGTCACGCGATAAGGTTAGTCAGCAGTCACGCAAAATAGGGTTAGTAACCCAAAGGTACAATTGGCTATCTGAGCAGGCATCACAAACGCGTTTACAGCGGAGTATCCAATTTACCGCCAAGCCTCGCACTTAAGGTGCAAACTGGTGAATTAAATCAGGAAAGTATCCCTAGGGTAAATTTTAATTAAATAACCTTTCTTGACTAACAGTTCGTCAAGTTTTAATGACGGTTTCTTGGTTCCCATTTATCATTTATACCCCAAAGGAGGGTTGGGGTGATGGGGGTGGGAAGGAGAATACCGGGGCTCGTGATCTGGATTTAAGGATGCTAGCAAATGGGACAGCGAGTTTCCTAAGACTGCTGAGCTGTAAATAATTCTAGAATATTCCATATGACAGATATTTCAAGATACTGCTTGTGGTCGAAAAATCCTGAACATGTTCGTGAAGTGTCCTAAAAGTGGATGTCCATGGACAGGCGAACTTCGATATGTAGAGGTATTCCCCCATACCCCTCATGAATATTATGCTAAGGGTTCTGAGGATTTGCAATTCTCTAATCCAGAATATTTGATCATGGATCAGTCTAAGAGTTTCTTAGACTTGCTAAGTTCAACATCACTTCTGCAAAAATTTTCGAAGTGACTGATTGATAAGGAGCCTTTTTACTTCAGTTTTAAAAAGACAGAAAAAAAAACAGAAATGCCGGGATCTTTAGCTAGTTCCTTTTTGTGCTCTATCCCCTGCGGCGGTATTGAGGTGGAAACCTTAGATTGACGTCCTTCCTCATTGGCAGGTGGAGGGGTGACGAAAAAAGCTCTAGACATATCCTAGTATCACTAATAATTATGCTGAAGATATCGGAAGTTTCAGAGAATAAATATCTCTCAAATGTGCAAAACTGTCCAATAAGACATGGATTGTAGAAAAGTTCAGTGATTTATTTTGTTACTGTTTTTCCACCTGTGTCAGTACAATAATTTTGTATTAGAGCCGAAACCTAAACTTTAATATAAGGCTTCAATGCCATTTGAATTTGCAATGCAATTTTGAATTTTGTTTTTTCATGATTTCCAGAATCATCAAGCAGAATGCGTATACATAGAAGTGCAGTGTCGAAACTCAGAATGTACAGAAAAGCTCCTAAAGAAAGACATGGGCTCACACGTGGAATCCCGATGTTTGTGGAGAATAATACGTTGTGAATATTGTCAAGAGTTAATTATCTTCAACAACAAACAGGTAAGTTACGCTTAAAATTAGTAATCCTTCGTTTGGAATATACTCCTTTGAGAAATTCCTTTTTTGTTATACGAGCTTAAAACTCACGACGTCGTGCAATCAATCGAGTTGAAGATTTCGAATTAAGCTTACTTACAGCGTAAATTTAATATTATTGCCAGCCTGCCAATACTTTTTCGGCCCTCGAGGTAGTGTCGTGTCAAAAAATGGAATCTGATATTGTCTCTTCTTTTCCAGAAACATTTTGATCATTGTTCCTTGTTTCCAGTCAAGTGCAGTAACAATTGCGGCTTAAGAGAAATTCCCCGAAAAAAGGTTTATCAGCTATGCTTGCATGATCTTTCACCTTGTGATGCTGTCACCTGTAGATAAATAGATAGATAGATAAACTGTTTGATAAATTTTGTTAATAATTCATGACTTGTAGCCTGAGAAAAACCCATACTAATCTGCTGACACATGCCACAAAATAAACTGACAGAAAGAAACAAATTAGGTAATTTTAAAGCTAAAGTAGTAATAATCATAATAATGATGATACTAATAATGTAAAATCTATTACTAATTATACTTATCTAATGGGCTAGAGATATCTGATTATGATCTGATAGGTCAGAAAAATCGCTAAAAAGTTTGATTTATGTAAAAGTGATAAAATTATGTTAATTTTGAAGAGCAGAGCGAGAAGCCCTTACAGTTATCATTCATCAGTGAAACTATATCGCACTTACCAATCCTGTTTTTAAAGGTATTTAGAAATCTTCTATTCTGCAATTCTAACATCCTTCGATAGTTTTCCCCATAATCAAGGCCCAAGATAACGTAAAGAATATTTTCCGTATGTAACAGCGTTACATATAGGAATTAAAAGAGTCTGATTCCCTTAAAAGTTAAAAGAGATATGATTATTAAAAATATTACAGATGTTAGTAAGACATAGTTTGTGTTTCACTTTTTACATGAGGGGTGCCTGTATCATTTGTTCGTAACAATGGGATCAAAACGTTATATTGTTGTTTTTGTTGTCGTTTATAGCTCGAGGTTCACATTCGTGATGAATGTCCCAAAACTGAAGTTGACTGCGAATACAAGCACTTAGGATGTGCGGCTGTGGTATGAGCAATTTTAAATACCTCTAATTCTGGTAGTTAGCATTGAGGAGTGTTCTGTTGTATAGCATGGCCGGTATTTTTGTAGAAAAGTTATTAAAAGAGGGTGGTAACGATCCTATAAAGTTGAGAGATCAACGAGGCTGAGAGGTGGAGACGTGGCACAGGTATATGTCCAGGGCAGAGCATAATTGTTTGAGATACGATCAGAACTAATCCAGACTTCATGGAAAGGCTTTTCCGTTTTTGCATCGCTTTTGTTTTCTTTTCTCGTTCAATCTCATTTCATTTCATTTGATCGCATTTCATTTTGTTCGGCCTTATCATCTTTTTTGTGTGTGAAAAAGTTTAATCGAGGATTAGGTTTCTAAAAACATTGGTGATCAGAATCTCGGACCTATACGATTCGTTTAGAATTACAGAAGTTGGTGAGATTATAATCTCACAAAGCTCCTAGTCTTGTGCAAAGACTGATATATCTCTTTCTGTGCTCGCAGTTCCTAAGACCAAACGCCAAGTCTCACTCAGAAACCCAAGTTGAAGGACATTTGAACTTGGCTGTTCGCAAACTGAAAGTCACTCAGGAGCTCGTTAGCCATCTGAACTGTCAGGTACAGAAGATGGAGCAAGTGATGGCCAATTTTGAAGAAACGTCACAGCAGATGGAGCGACTGAAGACCGAAGATCTAGAGAAATCAAAGCAGATAGAGCGATTGATTGCCAGAGATGTTGAGAAGACAAAGCAGATTGAACAGCTAATTGACAGAGATGAGGAGAAGTGTAGGGAGATGGAGCAATTGATGAAAAAGGTTCAAGAACAAACACAGCAGATAGAAAGGCTCAGAATGATGGCAAGGAAGTGTGCTCCTTTTGTTTGGAAAATCTCCAACTTCCAAGCCGTGTTAAACAGAGCAAACAGAGGATTTCACCCCCAAAACATTTTACTAAGCGAAAAATTTTATTTGTCCGAGAATGGCTACAAATCGCGTATCAAACTAGTACTATATCACAAAGAAAGTTTCTTGTCTCTTTATATCAGGATTGTTCCTGGAAAATTTGATTCGTTGTTATCCTGGCCATTTCTTGAAAAAGTGCGCCTTTCGCTGATCGATCAGAACCCATGCAAAGATAAAAGGAAGGATTTATCAGATGTTTTGGACTTTGAGAAGAGGAAAGAACGTGTTACCAAACCTATGGAAGACGACCGATTTGATTTTGGCATAAACATTCCTCATGACGTTTTACGAACACGATCATATATCATGAACGATATGATTTGCATAATTGTTAGAAAAGAAAATTGAACTTTACCATTTGCACGAGCCGTGCACATAGAGTAAAGTCAACTTAGAGTCAGTACGACTACCTAGTGAATACGACTACCTTATTATCAAGAGGCTGAACCTTTTTTTCAGTGCCCCACTGATTTTAAAACTCAGTTATTATGTCATTCTATTCGAAAACCAACCTTAGATTCCGAACCAACAAGTAATTGAAACCCACTTGCGAGTTCCAATTTTCCTCCTGTAGCTGAGAAGAAATTTTCAATGCTTTGAATAAACTTGAAAAAAGTCAAACGTCAACTTCCCGGACAACTACTGATTGAGTTACTTCTGCTGTTTTTATGAAGTCTTACCAAAAGCTTTACCAGAAGCAACGTCTGAAAGGAGGGGAAAGTCGAAAAGAAAAGTTGAGCCACGGAAAAAACCATGTTTGGTCATGCATACTTTGTACGCGAAAAATTTGCCATAAAACCTCGACCTGTTGTAGTCGATCTAGTTTTTCGGGCTGGAATCCAAGCATTTTGCTTACTGAGATGCTTACTAGGCTCCCGGCATGTTTCGTTAAAAACGTTTTTAAGAGGTTGATAAAGTATAAACTGAGATAAACGACAGTAGAATTCATACCATTTTGTTTTATGAAGTGTCTTTAGGAAATGATACTCAAACAAACGACGTGTTCTTTTTTTGAGACTTAAGATTGCTGGGCCATGCGAGGTGTAAGCTAATGAAATTTTCAGCCGAAAGTTCGGTAAGCCGACAACGGCTTAAGACAACGCAAGTTATTTTGCTTAGTTAGCCAACGCTCTCGTTTAGTTTCTTCAACCGTTCCCCATCTCCCTTATGCTCCTAGTTTTGCTCAATAGACCACTCCAGAATTTGATTTTCGCATCTAAATCGGGAGCCTCGTCAGTGGCGTCTAACAGCCCAAGAAGTCTTCCCTAATCTTTCTTAAAGACCCTGTTTTGCTTGAACATTTTTTTTCTATATTAGAAACTATTATTTTCGTCGCTTTAACAATAATTCGTTCTTATTATTTTTCAAAATTTTGTAAATCATGTTAAGGTCTTTTTCTTCAAGCTTTATATATTTTCTCTCCAAATCCTTCATATGTTATTCTTAAGCCCTTGCCTTCCTTCTCAATTCTATTCTGCTCACGTCTTTTTTAAGCTCCCTGATCTCAGTTTCCGACAGCCTCTTCTACATTCCTTTCTCCTGATTATCCACCAACGTTTTAGTCATGCCCAAGCTTTTTATCTGTCATACACAGTCTCTCTTTCGAACTTCAGCCATAGTTACTTTCCTCTTAAAGCGTTGGGCTCAAGCAGCCTCGGAATTTCACCCTCGCTGATAACTCCTGTTGTCCGATGGTACAATTCCCATCCCTCTTGAGTGAAGCTTGTCCCCTTGCGAAGGCTTCCAGGAGAAATCGCTGATCTTATTTTGGTCGTAGCTATTTCAGGGAACATGCGATGTTACCTTACTGTAGGGACTTATTTAAACAATACAGCTTTCTACATGATTTTCGAAATTAAAAGAAAAAGAATTGCCGACTAAAGCTGCACATTTTAGCCATTCAACTTAACTAAGTAGTAGATAGCATCCTAAAACAGATACGACGCTGCAGACAAAACTATGACTATTTGGCCAGCTATATAAATTATATAAAAGAATACGACGAGGATGGGATTAGCAGTTCAACGCCTCAAGTTAACCACTCAGCCACCTCGTCCTTTATACTTAATTAATGTAAGTGTACACACGCAAACTCATACAACCGCAGACAAGGATACACAACTCCTTATATGTAAGATCATGTAAAAAAGATTGAAAAGAGAACAAAACAAGCTATCGAGCTCCATTCAAAGGGTTTCAACACTTTGTGTGATTTGTATGATTCACCAAAATCGTTTCTCGTAGTCTATTGGTATCTGGAGACATCATAACTATGGTAAAATGAAAGTAAGGTAAATTCTCGACGAAAATCCAGGAAAATCGGTTTACACTCTACCAAGCGTATCTAAAGTCCTTTTTTACGGGAGGGAATGTAGCACTCCGATTGAAAAAAAATCCTAAAGCAATGGTGTAGTTTGATCGTCTGGGTGGGTGTAGTCTTGAGAAGGACTGTTGTTGGTAGTGGTAATTGACGTTTCTACAGTCGGAGCAATAGATCTTATAAACCGCTCCCTGTCTGTTCCTCGGTTCGTGTTCGTCTTTGACCGGCGGTTGTCAGCAACTGACGTATTGTAGTGATGGGTTTGTGGGCGACGCGGATATTGAAGAGTAGTAGGATGCGCGAGATGTTCTCAGATATACCTTTATGTATGGTGTAGTCGCTGTAGTCGTAGGAGTTGCGGTGTCGTTAGTTTCGGTAGTTGTAGTACGTCGGTGAGTGATTCGTCGAATGAAGTCTTCGTTGCAGTTAGTTCTTTGAGAAAACACTGTCAAGGTACTAGTTTTCGTTGGATAAGCTGTCTGTCGTGTTGCATACCAGTTACGTTCGTCGCGTTAGAGTCCTGATAGTTGTGGCTTTGTGTAATGTCGCATTGTCGGATGACTCGTCTGTCGGTATGTGTCAGTTTCTTGTAAACTGTTGTCTGTAACGAGTTGTGGTCACGGCTTACCAGGCAGTCCAGGAAAGGTAGTTTACCATTTTCTTCGACCTCTCTGGCAAACTGCATGTCAGTGTTTCGTCCGTCAAGGTTGTGGTGAAATGCGTCGATTTAGTTGTGTCGTACGGCAGTGAATGTATCGTCAACGTAGTGTAACTAAAGTGGTACCGTTTATCGGCAGTTCGAAAGGTCATGTACCTCGATGTTCTGCATCAAAATCTCTGCTACAACAACAGAAACTGGAGATCCCATAGCTGTATCGTGTAACTGTTTGTAGCGTTTACCGTCGTACTGAAAGTAAGTTGACGTAAGGCAAAGGTTCAGTAAGTCCATAATGTCCTCTGTCGGTAGCGGTAGAGGGTCGGTAGATTGTCGGATTGCGGTCTCAGTACAATCTAGCGCCATTTGAAGTGGAATACTTGTTAAAAAGCGATTTCAAATCAAATTATACTAGTTTGTAGTCGTCAGGTATCTGTTAAGTTTTGGTGGCATAATTGAAGTCCTTGGTGGATTTTAGTTTACGTGTGGATTTGTCGATCAGTGGTTTTCAGTATTGTCGTCAGGTCGTGTCTGATAAATGAATGCTGCAGTTATCCATAAGAATTCTAATCAACCACTGATAAGACTTGTAAAATAAATAATAAAAAATATTCCAAAATTCTTGAACGTGATTGGTTTTCACTAGCTCGATTTGAGCACTAATGGGTGTGTGTACGCGTCATGCTTGTGATTAAAAAGTATGATTGAACAGTTGTCGCGTCATACCTGAATGGGTGGACAGGTCCGTCCAATGGGATGGAAAGCTTCCTCTGTTGTGGTAGTCAAGTCTATGGGCATAAACTAAACATCTTTGCCTGCACAAAATTGCTTGCTTCCACCTGTTTTATGATGGCCTTTGTTAGTTTCCTTGCTTGGAAGGTTACAAGAGGGTACTTAAAAGTGTTAAACTTTTCTTGCTGAGTGTTCGAGCACACGTCAAGGTAAGTAAGTAGGCAAGGTACTGACCTCTCCAGCTGTGGCATAGTAATTGTCTAATCGTTTTTAGTACTTTCTTGGTTGCAAAAACGAGGTTTACGGTGACTTTTCCTGAAAACTTAAACCCATTTCGACTATGGAGGCCAGTACTATAAACTATCATGTTGATCAAGCGACTTAGAGGGTCTGGATGGGGGGTACAAATGTCAGTTGCCACTTACAATTTCGGCCATTTATCAGTTCTCAGTCAGGTTTTAGGCCATTTCCCACTTGTCAGTTATATGACTGTTAATAATTAACTTGGGGAGTTAATTATTACTTTCCGACCCTATTTTTCGGTTAAAAAGGGGCATAAAGCTTAAAATCGAAAATTAAGTCGAAAATTGATACAATAGGAACTTCTTTTTATCAAATCTGGAATGAAATAACTGCAAGATCTTCCGAGTGACTTTCAGTCTTTGTTGGAAGGGTGTTACAACTCTTCTGCAACCAAACTTCTGTTTGCTAGTGCGCAACATTGAAACAATCCTTTTCAACCACTTAGCCGCTGTCGTCAGAAAGACAGCAAACTTGTGAATAGTCCTCTAGCACAATGTCATGGTTTTATGTTTTGTTTCACAATGCGTCGATTGCGATTGACTCCGATGAAATAATCGGAAAGGAATATTCTTTTGTCTAATTTTCAATTAGGTTATTATAGATATCTTTTGTAAGCGTACCTTAGAAATCCAAGCTCAAAAGGGCACGAATTGGCCGCCCGGATCTAGAGACCGTAATTGGGGTAAAATCTTCATCCTCTCGGATGGACCTCTTGTTGCAGCAAAGACCAGTCAGTCAATCAATAAAAGTAAAAAATACATAAAAGTCGTTTAGATCACCCCTGATGCATCTCTTAAACGAGGTCTGTCACATTTGTCTCAAAATCTAGTAATGTTCGGATCCACCGAGCACTAGACAGGAGTGTCGAAACGTTGGGTCTATGAATTGTAACTTCTTCGGTTACATTAATTAAATCTGCAAACCAGAGTAGCATCATACTATGTCATACTGTAGCTTGATGAAAAGGCGTCTACTGTGCAGTGATACTAATTGCAATTTAGCGCGCATCTCTTGAGTACATGCCTTACGGTCAGCATGCAATGTTATTCGCATTACTTGGTTTTGTAGGTTGGTTTTGCGCACTCTTACTGATGTGTATTAAAAATCGTACTTTTATTCGAGAAAAAAATCACCTGTCCTTATTTTACATCCAGTTATTGGGATATTTAAGGCGATCCGGTCTTTTGTCACCCGTCAGTAAAAGCCCACCACAAATGTCAGTTGTCAGTTCGATTTTCAGCGATTTGTCAGTTGTCAGTTAAAATTTTGGCCATTTGTCAGTTGTCAGGTAACCCCATCCAGACCCTCAACTTAAAATCTTTCCTTCCACAGGACGATCTCTGTTACTTTTGAAGTTTTCTATGTTTTATGCCAAGAGTTCAAATTTTCTTTTCGCCTTTTTCCCTTCAATCTGTGTCCTCAGATCCTAAAAGCTTGCACACCGTGCTCAACATCATCCAGGCATAATAAGTAGAGGAGGCTGGTGACATATCTCCTTGTTATTTGACTGACCTTCCTGAGTTTAAGCGTTTAAGAGTGTGTCCACGAGAGCACCAAGCAGTCGTGCTACATGAAATCTCACCGATTTCAATGGAACTCGTCCAGTTTAAAGGATCTACCCCAAAACTCAAAAAGACAAAGTGGTTTCTGTTTCGGTCTTTTTCGGGCGGAGATAGACCACCCCCCGTTTTTTCCTTGTTTTCACCAAGGAAATCAACAGAGGCAAGAATGAGA